ATCTGGTGTTCTGGCAGGCTCGGTTATGAAAGAAAAGTAACAGATAATTCAAACAGAGGCCTCGCTGAGCCGACTCCCAGAGAGACTCGGTGGTATGACCTCCTATTAACTGTTCTTTTAACTGAAATTCCACCATACGCATACTTAACATCATATTAAATGGGTTTTGTCAGCTTCTGTTCAGCACTTTGTTTTACTGGAAACAAATCTTAACCCTGGCGTAACCTCTAAGTCTCAGGTCCTTTCTGTGAACTTGATTAATTTTTGATGAAGTCGCGGTAGTGGTCCTGGGCAGCAGTCTGCTGACCCGGTTTGCCCTCCTCGCGCCAGCCTGGCTCTGGCCAGACAAGGGAATGAGGAGGAGCAACACTGCCTCTCTGTGGAGGACCTGCCTCTCCAATAATACTCAACCATCCGTGCCAAAGACAGCAGGACAGAGTGAATGAAGGTACTGTCTTTCTACCCTTCTATTGGTTTGTGGTCATTCTTATGCAGGAACGTCTCTAAATGACAACTTATTAAAACACAGTCTTACTTGTTTTGTGCATTTAAATTCACCTGTATTTATTTGTATTACCAACATCAGAATTATTGATACTTTAACATTTTAATTGTCATGAAATCTCCGCCGTGACTCTGCCTCCAGCTTTCTACTTCATCATGGCTCAACCCTGGCCCTGCCCTAGCCCCTCCTTGTCATTGGTAATTTCAACTGTTGTCTAGCGCCTGTGCTGTGTTTTCCTAGTTTCAATGGATGGATGATAATACTGATGCTGGTCCTTTTAAAAAGTCTTCTTGCACATTTCTTTATATATTCTTTATGATTTCCACTGTGAAAAAACGCACCAATCTGGACATCAAAAATTATATTTTGCATTATTATCACTAATTGCCATATAAATTGAATGTTTAGTGAAATAACTCCAGATGATGTACCATTACTGAGCATCTCGAGTGGCTGTTTGTGCCACTGTGTGAAGCAGAAGAAGGTGGAAGGAAAAGATAAATATTCAGTTTGAAGAAAACACATAGTACTGATATTTTCATATGAGGATCAAAACACCAGTATCACAAGTATTGATGTTTCAGAATCCATCTGCCCATCTCTACTACATTTCCAGCTTTCTTTTGTCGTGTCTCAAAGTTCACACTCACAGTTTTGTGCACTTGTGTGCATGTTTATGTGCTTTCTGATAAGGTTCCAACTTGTGTACCATTTCTCCAATGTGAAAAAGCACAGTGCACAAGATCACACTAAACACACACTAAATGCACCCTGGCCTAAGTAAATATCTCAGTTCAAAAGAATAATGAATTTCCAAGGCACTGTTTCAGAAATATCAGGGAATACTTTTAGGGAATAATGTTAACATTGCAAGAATGTCAGCAACTGCCTGTCCCACATATGTGCACATTTACAGTCTTTATAAGTGTGTGCACATTTTTGACAAATTTGGAAATACACACTGTTAAAAAGGATGGTTCTTAAGACAATGGTTCTATATAGAACCAGGAACACTGAAAGAACCACTTGCATGCTTAAAGGGGTCTTTGAATGGTTAAATGGCTCTTCAGATTGATGAAAAATGTGTTGCTTATGGTTCTATATAGAACTTTTTCAAAAGGGTTCTATATAGCACCAAAAATAGTTTTCCTATTATTGCAAGCTTGACATCATAACAATAGAAAAACCCTTTTTGGTGCTATAGAACACAACACATTCTTCATCAATCTGAAGAACCACTTACACGATGCAGAGAACCCTATAAGCAGTCAAATGGTTCTTTGAGTGTTCATGGTTCTATGTCAACCCATTATCTTTACTAAAGAACCTTCTTTTTAAACAGTGCACCACATTACTGTGCACTTAGGTAAAACAACAAAAATGTGTGGACTCTGGACACAGGCTGTTCTAGTTGTCTGGTTTTCTAGTTCCTGAATTTGTTCCTAGTGTTTCCCTTGTTTTTGACCTTCACATGTCTGGTTCTCTAGTTTACGAATGTTGGATGTTTGTAGGATGATACTGTCTCTCTCTCGCTGTGAGAAACTGTGATAAATCATGATTTAAAGAAATGCCCCAAGATGAAGATTAGCACTGCCGTCCTGCCATCTGCAATGTCTGCTACATTTTACTGTCTTTCTCAGTTTGCATTATTGTGATGTTAGCCCATACTACACGGTATCACTCTGCTATATTTGCAGTATGCAGTCAATGCGTTCCTCTTTTAATTGTGTTATGTCATTATTCATTAGCTATGTCTCTAATAGGGGTGGAGAAAATAAATCATGATTCTATTTGGAAAGATTTTAGCTTGGAGGAGGAAAGAAAACAAAAGATCTCACTAATGCATGTTTGCAGTCATAAATTGTTCAGGTTTTCATGTATATGAAGAAAAATCCCAAAACCACAGAAAAAAATATTGCAGCTTTGTGTGGATTTGGAGACCTCTCTGGTGGAAATGTGTAATTCAACTTGCATGAAACTTGCAAAAGAACACTTTGTGACATTGATTGTGCTTCAGACCTCTTCCCTGTATAGATGATTCTGTTGACTGCAATCACCCTTAAAGAGTATTTAAAGAGAACTCAGTCAACACTTGGGGAAGGATGTGTCGTCCAAGGATGTGAAGGAATTATGTATTTTCATCATATCTTCATCAGTATAATGTTGATTTTGCATTTGAGACCTAAACATCGAGCCAAAGGATTTGTGGATTTATGCACATACAAAGGTTTACCGAATTCAGACGCCACCAATGTTGTCTAGTAGTAAAGAATCTTAAACTGATACACTCTTAAAAATAAAGGTGCCAAAAAGCATTATTTGTGCTGATGTCATAGGAGACATATGGTTGGTTCCCTAAAGAACCTTAAAATGTATAATTATCTAAAGAATGTATTATGTAAATGAGTCGTGCAAGTGTCAAGAACCTTTTCCTCACGTTTCTGAACTAAACGACTAAACAATGTAGTATATACACATTAACATTAATATACACGTTAAAATTTCCAAATATACTCAGTCTGTACAGTCCATATGCTGAAACTAAGCTGCAAAAGATAGCTTGTTCTGTATTAACTGTACGTATATCAGCCTATTCAGCCCACAGCAGTTTAACTCCGCCCATTCACACTAAAGTTATAAGGAATGTTTCAGCCCAGGCTGCTTTCTGAATGGTATTCAATGCAGGGCAGCAAATCTGAACAGAGCTCATTTACACATAAGTCTTAAAGGCACAATCACGAAAACAGGCTGTTTAATTCTAAGCGATAAAAAAGAGATTGGAAAAATTGTTACATAAAAATAAATTATTAATTTATAAATTTTTCCACACAAATGCTATAAGTGGACTACAATAGAAAGCTAACCAAACCCATTTAATGAGACGTTAAATGTGCTTTCAGTTGAAATAATGGTTAATACTACAAGAACATTGTAGGATGTGAGTCCTTTAAAAGTTTGTCCTAGATTGACACAGAATGCTAGAGCCAAAAGTTAGACTCTCAGTCAACATTTAGTTACCCCACAAAAAAATGTGATCCAGCACTGCTGTGTGACACAGAATGCGGCAAAACTGATTTTGATATCATTTTAATTAGTTGAGAGGCATCAAAACAAGCTTAAAGTGTGACTGATGTTGACGTTGCACCAGTGGAGGAATAATGACAGCACAGATGTCATGAAATGCTGTGTTGTTAATTGTGTGTTTACCCCCAGACGGTGTTGTTATTGCTGCACTAATTACACTACAATTAGAAGATGATTATAAGATATCCTCCATATCACAATGCAATTTGCTTGCACTCACCTGCTGTAATGAATGTGTGCCGGAATCTGAGCTGAGGTTTTTTATCGTGCCTGTGAGTCAATAGAAGTATTTGAACAATTATCATGCCTCACATTATAGAAAGATAATAGATAGTCCCAATCAACAACAAAGGCCTGACCGTGCTGAACCTGGCTTTGCCATTACTGGGCACAATCTGACGTCTAGCAAACAGACCTCTTTTCTTTGTTTTACTGAAATGGAAATGCACTTCAGCTAATTTAAACCCTTTGAAATTCATAACCGATATTTGAGTGCAAATAATGAAAAATGACCCACTTGATGCTTTTCCTAGAATGATTTTTGGCATAAGGTAATATGCAGTCAAGTAGATGGTCGTGCCTGAATGATATTAAAAATACACAATAAATTCCATTGTAACGAGCTTCACGTAGGTGAAAATGTTACTGATATTGGAAATGTGTAGTAGGAATGCAATAAGGGAAATCAGTATGGCACCGAAGCCTATTTAGTCAGATGGTTCTCCTGCCAAAGGTTTGTTTTCACCTACGGAAAACAAATCCTGGGGCCGGCCCAGTAATGAAGAGCTCCAAGGACGGCGGTGCCAGTAGCTTTATTGTTTGGATATTCTACAGCTGAGCTGGAGACAAGGGGAATTTGAGAAGCTAATAGTCTGACCAATATTGAAACTATGTTGGAGCTCATTCAAAATACATACTGGGTTATTTCAGCACCAAAAGATGTTTATAAGCAAAACTTCGGATTTAATTTGATCCTTTTTAAAGCATTCAGTTAAAATCAGCTTGTCTGATCTGAACATTGAAACAAATATCTGTAATGACAATAATAGTAATGAGAAGAAGAAGAACTTTGATATGAGTGATTTTACAGTCTAGCCAAGTGGTCATCAATTAAACCCAAGCAATGGACACATGTTTGAGATGCATTAAGTACTTAATCAGAGGTCCACACTATATTTCTGCAATGTTACAAGCAGAACAGGGTAGAAGTTGAGTTTAAGTGTTTTTGTGGTGTTATTTGATGTTAAATACTCCTTTTGTTCGTCTAAAATAAACTTTTCTTCGCATTGTTTCATTCAAAGTTTATTTGAGTTGAATAAAACTAGTAGAACTATTTACCACATTAAGTATTTTTAGGTTGGACTGATGAACCATCTTTTTTCTAATACTGCATAAGGAAAACAGGAAACAATTTGGATCTTTATGAATGTTTATCCTGTGTACATACAATGTATTGGATAATGCATTGACTGAAGCTTTTACTGTAGGATAATATTGACAACCTATTGATTTTTGATAAAAGCACTGGATCAGTGAGTTCAAGTGCACTGAATACTACACTTGGCTCTTAAATGGGCTACTAGAGAATTGCTGTGCCTCATATTTGCCTTGTAGGTGTTTGCACAGACTATAATTTACCACAAAATGAGCAATGGCAAAGACGTCTCCACTACATGAAGAGCTTGCATGGAAGATTTAGTGGCTGAGGTTCAGTTGGCCCTTTTGTTCAGTCTGATCCAAATGCCCTTCTCTGGACGCAGGATGAGCTCCCCCAGGGGTCTCAGCTCCTCACGACTCTGACATGCCTGCACGTCAAAGTGACGCAATACAGCAGCAAGAACCACCTTCTCCTCCATCATAGCGAAGCGCTGGCCTGGAGCCACACACACAACACACACATACACTTGCTTTTACACAGTGTCAGAATGTGGAGTCATAGATAGATGCTGTCATATTAAACCCTTTTTTTAACAATCATTTGATAGCGCCAGCTTCCCTTCACATTGTGGGAACATTTCATGATGAATGAACAAAGAAACTACATAAAATATAATCTCATTATATTAACTTGCATTGGAAAATATGAGGTTTTCTTATGATAGCGATAGTAAAAAAGTGCAATATTTGAAACAAAAGCTTTGCTGTTAGTGTCTAATGCTCTAGCCACAAGCGAAAGCTTGTTGAGTATAAATCAACGTCTTTCCCATCGGCTCCTGGCATCATCTATTTTGCAAACTGTTTTACTTGTTTTACTCCACCTCCTTGTGTTGTTCCCGCCCCCAGAAAACCTTCCTTTGTGGGTGCATCTTTCTTATACTCCACAGTTAACAGCCCAGCCATGTCGTTGTTGGCTATAAGAGCAAGTTACCATCTACCCTACTATCCCCAAGTTACCCTACTCTTGAGCGTGACTCTACAACAGCTCAGCAGTATAGTAATAACTAAACAACATTTCATTTTTTTAAGTGTAATGCACTAGCCACAAGCTAGCATGCTAGTCACAATAAAATGATACAATGTAATATAACTTTTTTCCACTGGACAGTACAATACAGCATGGTACAGTTACACATCCAAACCCTGAACTATCCCTACCCTGGTTGAGTAGGTGGAATCCTCTTTGCTTTGTGTGGTCACATGATTTCTCACATGAATTTAGCATTAAGAGTAAACACAAACAACAGCAGCAACAATAGAGGAGCTCTTATAGGCGAGTGGCGAGTGAGGAGTGACCGTGTGATGATTGCTTTGACCTATTAACTATTATTAGCACCACCCACACGTTCATACTTAGTATGCTTGGTGCATCAGTGAGAAGGGTAAACAAGTTCAGCACAGGTACTCAGGTACAGTACGGCTCACTTTACAGTGAAAATGACAACGTGTGTGATCACAGATTTGTAACCGTACCGTATTGTTCTGCAATGCCCGGTGGAAAAACTATGATACTATGAATATGATAAGCTGTGATGCAATTTGATGCAATACGGTATGTGGTGTTGTTACATCCCTAACACATATGTATATTTACTAAACCTAAACCCTAACCCTTACCTTAACCTCATTAACAACAGTTTCAGCTTTCTAACATGAAAAATCTAGCCTTTTTTTAAATGCACTATAAAAAGTTCATTCTGAGTTTGTAGTTGTCTGATTTTTCGGACATTTTTGTCCTGAAAACATACAAAACCAAACACGCACATGCACAAATACACAGGAATTAATTTATACCTCTCTATGCTCTCATCTGGAGCTTTTGCATTCTGAGTTTCAGTTGAGCGCTGGGAGGCAGTGGACATGACAACAGAGAGCTGAAACGATTTATCTCCAAAGGCAAGTTGCCTCTCTCTCTCTCTCTCTCTCGCTCTCTTTCTCTCTCTCTATCCCTCTCTCCCTCGTTAGATGCTGCTCCTCTTGTGTGGCCAGTGGGCTGGAGCTGCCAGCACCACTTGGTGAGAGACAATCTGTCTCATTCAGCGGTGGGAGACAGGCCCGCACTCTCTGGAGATGAATGTGGGAGAGAAGTTAGCAGCGCTCCTCTCTTTCAGCGGGGCTGCGCTAAACGGATGATTGATTCCGGGGGCATAGTAGACGCCCGCGGAAGAATTGGAGTGCGATGGCGGTGGGGTGCCATATCATAACAAGTGGCGCCGGTAATGTGATGTGACCTGTCTGATAAAACACAGTAACCTTGGCCTGGAAATTTAGCACCAAGTTTGTCACTGCGATCAGAAGCCTGTGACAGTCCTTCACAAAGTTACAGGTCACAGCCTTATAGGCCTTTTATGCCATTATGGGAATTCATAAAGAGTGAGAGAGTGAGGCTGTTTCAGAAACTGGGCCCTATTCACTACAAAGGGTGGGAATCACCAAGTTACCTGTGATATGATACTATCATAACAATGATATCACCATGCAGGCGATTCTGCGATACTACACAGTATTTATATATCGATAGTACTGTAGTATACTATACTATAGTATAGTATTCAAGGCTATGCTGGCAAATCAACATGGTACCATTTAGAGATCCTGTACATTTAATAAGCATGTTGACACCTGGCATGCTTAAGAAGTGCAAGAGGGACCACTGATTATTTTTCACTATATATTGCACTATTTTAGTTTAATTGGGCCTTTAAATTATGTGGAGGTTCCTTAAACTTTAAGGAAAGGCACAGCAAGTTTACTTACAGTCCTGTGCAAAAGTCAGAGATCACCCTTATTTATTTCATTTCATTTCCATTTAAGTGGCTAATACGTGCTAATAACTATAATAGTAAGTAGGTTATTCCTTTATTAGCACCAGGAAAAAAAGTAGATATAATTTTTATTCATTATTTACTGTGCCACCCAGTTTGCTGAGCAAAAATATCTCATGAAATATATATGAAATATCTCCTAAATGAAGGGTCGTATCTGACTTTTGCACAGTGTGTATAGCACATTTGATATACAAAGGCAATTTAAAGTGCTTTACCTAAATAAAAGCAAAATAAAAGAATAATGAAAAAATGAAAGAAAGGACAACCATGCTCAAGTGTAATTAAAAATAAAATGAAAACAGGAGAAAACAGAGGAAAACAAGAGAATAAAATATATTTAAAATAAATTAAAATAAATTTATTGAAGTTAAAGCAACGGACATAGAGTATAACTAAGCAATGTTAGTGTACGAAATTTCTTGAATCATGAATTCTATACAATGCTCCTATATAGTGTTCTATATTCTATACAGTGCTCCTGCTTCTCCAGTGTAGGGAATCGTGATTAGGGTACGATTCTGCACACAGCAAAGGTCTCCTCCTGTCTCTGTTTTTGTTCTTTTGCTCTGTCTCTTACCGATGCAGTTTCTGGGGCCTGCGGAGAACGGGATGTATGCATACGGATGTCTTCCTACGCTGTTCTCGGGCAGGAAGCGTTCAGGTCTAAACTCCTCGGGCTCTGGAAAGAAGCGGGGGTCACGATGAAGAGCGTAAGGGATGATCATAGCATTCACACCTTCTGGGACTTTGAACCCATCTGCAGAAAAGTAGCAGAAAACAGGAAAAAAGCAAAGCACTGTTTTACAACAACACTGTCAGAGATCGTTCAGATATTCAAGCAATTAAAAATAAGCTGACATAATGTAACAATGAACAATTCCTCGACAAAAGCCTGAATGTATTTCTTTGTGCCATGCAACACCAGAGTAATGCTTGGTAAAAACACAGTTATGCCTTCCCATTTCCATTTAACTTGTGGCTGAATGCATTCTCCTGCACCAGGTAAAAAGGTTGGGGCCACTTAGAATCTGACACTGGGAGACGAAAATAGAAGCCCTGACATCTGCTGTTTCACTGAGATGCATATAATGGCAGTGACTTCAAACGGCACGGCTCTTTGTGATCTTGTGCCGTTCAGCACGCTGTTTGGCACACTGACAGTCTGCTGTCGCCTACTTATGTGACAGTCCTCGCAGATGCTGCGTGCAAAAAACGGCACGGAGGGGAAGATGCGCAGGCTCTCCTTGATGACACACTCCAGGTAACGCAGCCTTTTCAGGTCCTCCACCCCCACATGACGCTCTGATGAACCTGCCCGACAGGAGAGAGAGAGAGAGAGAGAGAGAGAGAGAGAGAGAGAGGGCATCTGAGAGATCACTCCTAGGGTAATTTATCCATAATGTCAATAACAGGAGTAATGCTAAGTTTGGTTTCTTTCACCAAGAGTTCAGGGTAACTACTGAGAGTCAGTCTCTTCAGGGACTGCTATATTCTTGTACTATACAATAGATACACATCAATATCTAGTACCTGTTTGTCTGTATTGGTCTCAAATCAAACTAACGCTTTGCACTATACGGAAATGGCAAATCACACCCCAGTACCTCACACTACTGAATCATGCCTAGATTAGCAGTTTGTCAAAATAGCAAGCTAATGTCAGTTATTACCTAACCAGGACTAGCTGGCCTTTTAGGGGCCTTAAGCAGGATTTTTTCTCCGCCTCCTTTTTTTGTCCATTTTTATTTCCAGTTGCGTGCATTCTTTTTTGAGACATGATTAACCAGTTGCTTTTTTCCTCTCTCTCATATATGGTGCAGTAAAAACTTCTTGATAGGGAGCCATAGGGTCCTAAGCACCTGCTTATGTAACTTATTGGGTAGAGCCAGCATTGTTCCTAACAATATATATCGCAAATTGTCTAATGCATATAATTGTCTAATGCATATAATAGTTACTGAAGGATAAAGACATCTAACTCATTTTGAAAATTTTTAATATTTTATTATTTCTTTTGTAAATAAGCTACATGTACTGTACAGTTCACATGCTGGTCCTATTACCAATATGGGGACAGTCATATACCAGTATTATCACATCCTGTTTGAAGGGCATTCACTTAAATCACTTAAATCTGTGTTTGGCAGGCTGAAGATTCTCCACAAGGGGGAGCTACTGGCACCAAGTGGCTTTTCTGAGCATCAAAGGAGAAGGAAATAAACCAGCATAAACCATCTTAAACTGGTATAAACCAGCTTAAACCAGTATAAACCAGCTTAAACCGGTATAAAGAGTTCAGACCAGCTTAAACTAACTTAAACCGATACAAACCGGCTTAAACCGGTATAAACCAGCTTAAGCTGGTATAAACCAGTAAGTCACTAAGTGGCTTTTTTGAGCATAAACCAGCTTAAACCGGTATAAACCACCTTAAACTGGTATAAACCAGTAAGTCACTAACTGGCTTTTTTGAGCATAAACCAGCTTAAACCAGTATAAACCAGTTTAATCTGGTATAAACCAGTTTAAACCCGTATAAACCAGCATAAACCATCTTAAATCGGTATAAACAAGTCTAAACCAGCTTAAACCGGTATACACCAATCTTAAACTGTCTTAAACCAGTATAAACCAGTATAAACCATCTTAAACCTTACTCGTTAATCATCAAAACAATTGCTAGATCACATGACTGTCTCTAATTTTGAACAACTACTAATTGATTTTACAAGAGCACTTGTGCTGCATTGTGGTGGTACTGTGGTGCAAAAGCTGTATTGTATTACCAAACACTTCCTTCAGTTCTGCATGCACTTTCTCCTGGACCTCTGGATGAGAGCCTATTAAATGTAAAGCCCAGTTCAAGGCAGCTGCTGTGGTGTCATGGCCCTTTCAGAGGAAATAAAAAGATTGTAAATGCATGTTCTGGCCCAGTTCTGCTCACAGGAACATCTTTGTTTCTTGTCTAGCTAACTGTAACCTGTCATGGTGCTGTGTTTTCTCTTACCTCGAACATGAAGGTATCCACTTCCTCCTGAATGTCCTCATGACTCAGCACGCAGCCAGCATCATCAGTGGTTTTTAACAGCATATCCAAGAAAGCCCTACGCTTTCTTGGGCCGTGGTCTGACTCACTGTCTGATCCTTCACTTATGTGCACTGCTCTCTCTTTGATCACCTTCAGTTCACAAACATCCAAACATCATCACAGACTCAGAGAGTCTAGGTCAAATTCCATCTGGTACGTGTTTTTGCTCAAAGCTATCACTGCACTTGGGCAATTGCAAATACAAAATCCATTCAAGTTTCAAGGATAATACTACAAAGCCAACATATCAAATATTGAACCTGAGAAATTTTACTGTTTTTTGAAAAATATATGCCCGTTTTGAATTTGATGCCAACAACACGTTCCAAAAAAGTGGGGGCAAGTTTACCACTGTGTTTCATCACCTTTTCTTTTAACAACACTTTGTAAGTGTTTGGGAACTGAGAAGACCAACTGCTGTAGTTTTGAAAGTGAAATGTTTTCCCATTCTTGTTTGATATAGGATTTCAGCTGCTCAACTGTTTGGGGTCTCATTTGTCAAAGTTTTTATTTCATGACCCTCCAAATGTTATCAGTGGGTGACAGGTCTGGACTGGAGGCAGGCCAGTTTAACACCCGGACTCTTTTATTACAGAGCCATGCTGTTGTAATACATGCAGGATGTGGTTTGGCATTGTCTTACTTAAATAATCAAGGCCTTCCCTAAAAAAGACATCATCTGGATGGCAGCATATGTTGCCAAAACATGTATATATCGTTCAGCATTAATGGTGCCTTTACAGATGTGCATGTCACCCATGCCATGTGCACTAATGCACCCCTATACCATCATGAATACTGGCTTTTGAACTGTGCACTGATAACAAGCTGAGTGGTCTTTAGCCTGGAGGACACAGTGTCCATGATTTTCAAAAAGAATTTCAAATGTTGATTTGTCAGACCAAACAACACTTTTCCGCTTCCTCTCAGTCCATTTTAAATGAGCTCGGGCCCAGAGAAGGTGGCGGGGTTTCTGGATCCTGTTTCTATATGGTTTCTTCTTTGCATTATAGAATTTTCACTTGCATTTGTGGATGGAGCAACAAACTGTTTTCACAGACAGTGGTTTTCAGAAGTGTTCCATGCAGAGATTTCCACTACAGAATCATGTCTGTCTTTAATGCAGTGCAACCTGAGGGCCAGCAAATACTGTTTTTTGGCCTTGTCCCTTGGATACAGAGATTTCTCCAGATTCTCTGAATCTTTAACATTGTTATGTACAGCAGATGATGAACAGCAAAAGTTCTTTGCTATTTTATGTTGAGAAACGTTATTCTTGAATTGTTGCACTATTTGCCCTTTTATATAGTGGTGAATCCCTCCCCATCTTAACTTCACATTACTGACCTGTTGCCAATTCACCACCAGGAGTTTTTTTTAGCATTACACAACTTTACCAGCCTTTTGTTGCCCCCATCCCAACTTTTTTGGAATGTGCTGTTTGCATCAAATTCAAAATGGGCAAATGTTTTTCAATAAACAATAAAATTTCTTAGTTTCAACATTTGATATGTTGTCTTTGTACTATTTTCAATGAAATATAGAGTAAAAAATATAGGGTCCTCAGAAGTTTGGGGACACCTTGCCTTCGTTTTAATTTTTCTGAGTGATGTGTGATACATACAAAAGCTTTGTTTTGTAGTTTTGGACTGACTAATTCCCAGGGGAATTCCACATTTCTTGGTAATGCAATAAAGTCTTTTAGAGTGGTTTGACATTAATGATGTATTGCTTAGAAACAGCACAGTTTCTTTGCTGTTTCTCAGCTATACACCATTGTTCACATGTTCACAGTTGTGATGATATTAACCAGACATCCAAACAGGTTAATGCCTCTAAACAGTACCTCACAGAACGATATTATATAAAATGGTTCATACATTGTCTGATGCCTGAGACACGTTTTATGATACTTTTTACATAAGCTTTTGAGCTTAAGTGTATTTTTAAAAAACACTAATGGCAGAGATGTACATGCAAGGCAAATCCTACAGTTTACCACTATTTTACCATTATCATCATTACATATAAAACTAAAAAGACATGTGTAGGTTCACTGGTTATTTTGGATAATAAATCCATCAGCTGTATTTGCATTGCAGACATTGCAGCTTGTGGTTTTTATTACCACCACTGTAAAGAAAATCCAACCTGGTACGTTTCCCTACGATTGTAAATCTATTTTCCTGCAGAGTTTAGATCCAGCCTGCATCTAACATGCTGTCCCCCACCCCCTTAGCGACATAAATACATTTGATCCAGCCATCAAGGACTGCTGAAGAAGTTCATTAGCAGGTGTGCTAGACTGGACTTAAATTCAGCAGGAGGGTAGATCAGAAATACAAGCTTACTAACTGAAAACATATTCAAAAGAAGGGTGACCCCAAACTTTTTTGACAGCCAGTGCATATACTATTATGAAGCCCCTGAAGAGACGTAGTGTTTTTTTTTAGATTAAAATCAAGTGAGCATCCGATACTAAGTGGTGCGCACCGCATGCTATGTGGTGAGCAACCAATACTATCAGGTGCACATCTAAAACTGGCGGAAACCCTATACTAACTAGGGCTATCTAGTGCACACCTATTAGTGTCTAGTGCACACCTATTAGTATCTCATGCCCACCACATAGTATCTAGTGCACATCTATTAGTGTCTAGTGCACACCTATTAGTATCTGGTGCTCACCTTATAGTTTCTAGCGCTTACACATAGTATTTGTTACTCACCTGATAGTACCTGGTGCTCACCACATAGTATCTTGTTCTCACCTGATAGTATCTAGTGCTCGCCACATAGTATCTGTAGCTCACCACATAGTTTCTGGTTCTCACCTAATAGTATCTGGTGCGCATCCAATAGCGTCTAGTGTGCACCATTTTTTTTACCTAAAAAATACATCACGTTCCTCCGGCTCTGTTGCATGTTAAAATATTTGATCATTTGATCTTGTAGCTGAGAAGGTCACTTACACTTGCAGTGAAGGAGTGCAGGACCTTGAGTCGTTTGGCATGTTCTTGACCCTCTCCAAATGTATTATAAATCCATTCTGGCCACCACCAGGGCGCTCGCTGTCTCCTAGTGACGATGTCACTCATCCTACAGGGGTCACAGTGTACATCTGTTTACATTTTACAAAGCACTGCTAACATATCCAAGTAGAATGGCAGGTATATGCTGTTACGCATTGTGCTCTTTGATGATTCAGTTCTCCTCAGAGGTTTTGTAAGATGGTTTAGTTTTGTGTAGAAAGAAGACCTTTTATATGCACTTGAAGATGAATAATAGATTGCTGATTTCTTTCCCTCTTTCCCTTATGCTCTGTTTTAGCAGTACAATTGCTAGGCCTGCAGAATGAGGCATATGTATAAAGATATTCTCCTGAGAGATGTATACATTAGAACAAAAGATGCTTATAATCCAATGTCAGCATCCTTTCTCTTTCTTTCTTCTTCATCTATATTTGTAAAATGCTGTGCAAATCCATGCATGTAAGGCTTTTTGGATGTGCTTTTACCTAAATGCCCTCAGAAACAATGTACAGAGGTTGAATAGTTCAACTTTATAGTAGATTTATATCTCACATACGTGATAAACCTGCTGTGACTGCAGTTTGCGATGGAGAGCTTCAGTCATTTGCAGAAATTCTAGCTTGGAACATGGTGTCTTTCTCCCACAGGCTATTTTTCTTTGCCAACTTAACTCATAGATGAGATGTAAAGTGTGACCGCCCTTGGCCAAATTACATGTTTTGTTGATTGAAATGAAAATAAGTTAACACCCTCTACAGGGAACAATCTTAAATATGCCTTTTTCTGCATATGCATTGGAAAAAACAAAACTACCTTTTGCATGTCACATTGTATGTTTTATTTTTTTTAACATGTAAATTCAGCAAATGAACAGTAATTGTGCATTATTCTGCTGAGATGTGTTCTCTGTAGAGGACGTGTTAACTTATTTTCTCTTCAACAAAACATGTCATTTGACTAGGGGCACCCAAACTCTTGCATACCACTGTCTAGCCAGCAATAACAAAAGGATTTTTATTATTTCTGACTCGCAGCTCATTGAAATAAACATAGAAATCTGTCTAAACTTTCAATCCATACCACATTCGCAGAAGAGGAAACCTTTTAAAATCATCTGAATCAGATGAAGTTATTGTTCTGTATAGTCTTGTTTTTGTGGAAACTATCCTTTATATTTTAGCCACTTTGACACTGAAACAAATAGAAAAAGACAGAAGGGAAGAACTGAACCTGTTGATACAGAAGGTAAATTCAATGTAAAATGTAATTCATTATATTCATTATATAACAATGAAATTACATAATTACATTTGAGCAGTAGGACAGACTAAAGCACAATCTAACATTTTATTTTTTTACTAAATAATTTATACAAGCAATCTGCACATCTCTGCTGCAAAGGAACAATGTGCCCTCCGTTTACAAACAATACAGCTGAAAGCAGAGCGAGCGCAAATGTTACAGCTAAATCTACAGGCGCGGTTAACTGTACAAGATATAGGGTCTGGCTCTAACAGTCAGCAAAAAGTTTGATACATTGATGCAAACAGTTATTTCAGGACTGTTCTATGTTGTTTGAGCAAGAAAAGCTTCCCAACCTTAATACATAAGAATTCATAAATATAGTCATATGCAAAGGTTTGGGCACCCCATGTGTCAAATTGCACATTTTGTTTATTTTCTAAGTGAAAAGAAGTTAAAACATCCTATACAGTGAACAAATTTAAATATGCAATTTTCTGCATTTTTACTGCATAATTTGTAATTATTTGCTGAGTTTAACATATTTGAAGCTTTACAGAAATTATCCTCCACAGAGAACACACTTGTACACATTTTAATGCACAATTACTGTTTATTTGCTAAAAAATAATATAATGGAAAAAAAGAAAAAAGACAAAAAATGTGCAAAAGCTGTGCAAAAGTTATGGCACATTTTATTTTTAATGTTAAACTCAGCAATTTGACTTGGGAGCTTCAAACATGCACAAGACTGCATGATTAGTGAAAAGAGGTTGTGTCAAACAGCAAATTTATTTTTGACTACAAAGTAGAAAATAAATCATGAAATATCAGCACGATAAAATTGAAATATATTTTATTTACATCTGTAGTATGTTTCTGATGAATCTTTGCATAAAACTTCCAAAAAGGTATATGTTATGAATTTACTTGAATTTACAGACTTTTCTCATTGTTTATTTGGGGAGGCTTAGTTGTAAACGTTGCATTACAACTAACCCCGCCATGTGGAAGCTGTAATTTAGCCTGGCTAGCTCTCACTGTGAGTTGGCATGCTTCACAATGTTCATTGGGTTTCTCTACTTTGGGTTTGGCCAGATGTTGCAGTGTGTGTATTGCACCAGGGTACAATTAAACAACCCATCCAAGCTGTTAATGTACAGCTCTTCAGAATGATGTGACTTACTTATACACACTTCTGACATATTCCGAGTCAGCATTGCTTTGAGCGTAGATCTTCTTGCCCATTGCAGTTTCTGTTGGGTTTTTAGCAAACAGTTAGCGATACAATTTGGCAAGTAATTTCAATAATGATATGTTAGGACAAAATCACTGCTAATGGAAGAGGATGTTACAGAGAGGGAATCTAACCGCATATGATGTCCAGAGCACAGAGTGTTATGTAGCTGAAGCAGTTGAATGGCTCTCCGCCTACATGCTTCTCCATCTTCTGGATCAAAATATCACTCTGTTCGTTCATCACGTCCAGGAAGTCGGTGAGGATGGAGAAGTGGAAAGTCGGGGTCAGCATTTTGCGTCGGCTCCGCCACTTGTCTCCTGTGCTGTAGCGTGTGGGAGGCAAATCATGAGATGCACACGACAGCTCTTGCAGCCTAGCTTTGCCATAAACTCTAGATGGCCATTGCTTCCTGATTGCTGTGAGGGAAGCAGAGTGGATGCTTGGTCAAGACTGCCACAGATAACAGATGAACAGTGACCTGTTGTCCGGTCTTGCTGACCGTGAACCTGTATGATTTCTGCAGTCCAACTGGCACGAGCTCTTGTGCGGTGTTAGTCGTGACTGTACAAGCCTTGCTGTCTTATACAGGAAAAGCAAACTTTCAATTTCACTTTAAAGTACTTGTTTCATATCAGACCCTTGTGAGACAGGATGGTAGATCAGAATGTTGGTCTGCCTGTACATGAAGCCACTTCTTAACTAAAAACATTGATGTAGATAATAGAACCAGCAATAATATGTTGTCATCTGGTGTTGGACCTTTACCTGGTCAGTAGACCTGTGCCAAGCCAGGGTTCTAGGTATCTGTAGGCAAAGGATTTGTCAAGATGTCTGGAACTGCTTAGGACAGGCTGAAAGAAAAACAGGGTTTGGAATGAGTCACCTGAAACAAACAAACAAACAAACAAAACTTATTTTAACCCCTTAAACTGCAGGAAGCTGTCAGTGGATCAAGACTTCATTGGATAATAAGCCTTAGAATGAAAATCTAAATACAGATCAAGGGTTTAAGGTGTTAAGACCTAAACCCCTTTTGTAAACATCGAACAAATGCTGGCGCCTTTTCAGCATCTCATAGAGTCACCATATGAACATGATTCATCGCATCATGTTGGCAAGAGCAGGACAGATATTGCTGCTTATGCTTCCGTAATACACACCTCAATGGTCTCTGCATGATATAAGATGAGGAAGGGGACGGGTCCCACCCAAACCTTCGCCAGGGGCCTGTGCCTGTTCTCATTGGTGCCCTCAACAATCTGGTTGAAAAAATCTGGAAAAGACAGACAAACATAAAACTCAACATGCCACTTCTTTGTCATCCGTGCTGCATTCAACTTTATTCAAATTGTCATCCTCGGCAAGGCAAACAGATGGCCAAAATACCTTACCTGCTGCATTGGCTTTGAACTGCAGAGCATTGCCAATGATTGGGAAGGCACTCTCCATTCCTGGAATTGGCCTCATCACACTCCATTTGTGTATATACCTTTTAAGTGGATGGTATGTGATGCATGCCAGCAGAATAAGTAGGATGATTGAAGTTATGCTCCCCAGGGTGTATAATCCAAACAGAATGGCCATTTTGCTGTAATGGAGTTGGCTTCGGCAAGTGCCTCTGAGACAGTGAACGAGTTGGTCTTATGTGAACTTCAGACTTAACTGTTTCAGTGCTTTACAAACAGAGAAAAAGGATTATTGGGTCACAGCGTGTGTTTATGGCCTGTAGCTAAATCATTGACAGATAGGAGATGGGCAACAGAAGAACCAAGTGCTGTGCTGCCATGTAATCTGTGCTTTGATTTGGATGATTGCTCAATGTATGTCTCCCACAATCAGTGGTGTTTTCCCCCCATTTCACTGCTCTGCCAAGTCCATTTTTTTCTGTTGCCATGGTGTTTTTAGAGAAGCAGAGCAGAATGACAATACAAGAATGTAGAGAACTCAACAGAGACACAGGACTGCACACCAGCATTTTAAGACCTTTTAAGTGTTGCATAAGTCCCAGAGAAAAACAAGAGGAAGACAGTCCAACTGCCCTAAAAAGGAAAAGCATATCAAGAAAAGTTATTTTGACTTGTTAATTTTTTGGGATTGTCAAAGAGCTTCACCACGATTAAACATATTTTTGTATTGTACGGGCATCATTATCCACTATTGATTGTACAGACATAGATTTAAGAGGGATAAGGTGGGTGGTGCCCCCGTCACTGAACTGCTCTCAACACACAGGACTTTGCTTTTTAACAGTGTGCTGTGGTGGTTCTCAGTTGGTAAATTCAAAAAGGTTCTTTGGTTTGAACCCATATTTTCTGTCATGTCTTTAGGTCCTGGCACACAGACTGGCAAATGCAATAGCATCTTTCCTGTTCCTTTACTGTGGCAGACTGAGCCAGCTCCACTTTTCTGTTTTCAAGGCTGTCAAAGATGTTTAAAAGTGAGTTAAACTAAACAGACTATGTATGATTATCTTAGACACTGCTAGCTATCACTCACGTACTAGGCTTCAGCATTAGTCTTGTTAATCGAGGGGAGAGGTACAGCTTGCGGTAGATAATAAGCACTGCTAGCTTATTATCTACCGCAAGCTGTAGCTCTCCCCTCGATTAACAAGACTAACACTGAAGCCTAGTACGTGAGTGATAGCTAGCTAGATAGTTTAGTAGGTCTAGATTTATTTACTTTGTCAAAGCTAGAAAAAAGAAAAGCTTGTACATATAAAGATGTACTTCTGCCTGTATGACACCTACATATGTCTAACAAGGGTTGCCAGGTATCCAGTTTTGCAGATTTGGGGATTTGGATTTTGAGCTCTGTGATCTGATGCCCAGTTGGTACTGCTGGGCGTTAAAATGTCCTCTAAAGTTGTTTTGTTGGTTGAGTTGTTTTTTAAAATTATTTTTGGGGTTTTTTAAAAGTAAATAAATAGACTGAACTGAAGAATAATGAACAATAGCCTTTCAAAGATTCCAATGTTTTATTGAAAAAATTAAATATGAACACATGTAAACATAAAAACCACATGTAAACACTATAAACACTATGTGGCAAATATATATAAATGTGTGTGTCCTCTGTTTTGTACTGTAAAAGAGACTGGTTGCATTTAAAATATGCATTATCAAGCTCCCTGCCAATTAATTACTGCCATCGATTAAAAAATCAAGCTCACTGAATACAGGGTATTTCCTGATTAGTAGCCAAAATCTGAAACTTTTCTACAGAAGTGAAAAAAATCTCACAACAAATGTTTTCACCACTGAGTCAGCGGCTGCAGTTTGATTTGTTTGCTGGACAGAATACCACAGACGCCAGTGTTGTTTTATTGCATGGAAGTCCCCACCAATCATGTTCTGATACAAACTGAGCTATAAATTATTGGCTGCTCAGCAACACAAAATACACACTTCTACACCTGCAGTAAAAATGTCAATTTATTGAGCTGCATCAACACATTTTTCACACACAGAGTGATTTGGCATTCAACACATGCACATAGAAAAAGACTAAATTTGTAACAACTGTTCCATGTGTTAATCCCATCTTTTAACCCTTTTCAGCATGTTCACATAACTGCTAAAAGCACTGTGTACTGCTCATCTTATATACAATCTGGTCAGCAACGCAATTTGTTAGTGCAAATAGGAAGCATACTGTTATGTATGGGTATTTTAGAGAAACAAAAAAAGCACCAAAATGATTTCATCCATACACAGTACTGCAGACTGTCCCACAATATGGTAAAAAAATAGCTGTCTATGACAATACCACCTGAAACTTCTTTCGCGCAGGTACTGGAAACCGACTCAATGCCTTCCGAGGACCTGAGAAATGTGAAGACAGCTTTGAGTTTATTGTTTATCAAAAAAATCACATAATACCACAGAAAGCTTGGCTTTGTGTGTTTTTTGTCCTTGTGTGACATTCCCTAATGAGGCATGTTAATTAATCCCAGGATCACCTAAACAAAACATTCTCATAAATAATTCTAAAACTGTTTTTCATAATTAAAACCCTCTCTTGCATTTCTGATTCTTAATAATTTACTTTGGAATAATGTACTGTATGCATTATTGTTATGGAGGTGATAATGCAGTCCTACAAGCCTCTTACCTGTGCTAATCTGATTTACACGTACAGAACTGACATCACATGAGAGGCATCGCATCACATTATCCTGGGTCTACTTCTGGAAGCAGCATAAACAACTAGATAGTGATGATTTTTGTTGCTTTACTTTGCCCTGAAGTACACTGGATATTTGTTAACACTTTACTTGACCTAGCTTGCTATGTAACATTGCTATGTAACATTGACATAACAATGCCATAAACATGTCATGGAAGATGTCACATGCTGTCATAAATTGTCATTACAGATTTTATTTAGTTATGTAACAGTGTCATGTAACCATTTCCAGTAACTGTCATGACAGATGCCATAATGTTTGATTATATTACAGCTTATGTCATATGCTAAGTAAGCTCTCATGACATCAAACATTGTGGCATCTGTCATGACAATGAGCGTTATGGTAACATGACACTGTTATATCACTAAAGAGAACGGTTATGCCAATGCTATGTAGCAGGGTGTTACTGGATATTTTTTATTATTATTATTAAGTGCAGTCAAGTTCTGACTCCTGGCGAACATAATGAATAGTGTTCTTCCAGTATATCATGTTTGTGTTTTTAATCTTTTTAATGGCTTGTTTGTGATTCCTCTGTTTGTCTCAATCCATCTTGCGGCTGGCTTCTTCCTCTTTTATCTTCGACTGTTCCAAGCATAACTGCCTTTTTCCAATGAACTGGTTCTTCTCATTATATGTCTCAAATAAGAAAGCCTCAGTGTGGTAATCTGGGCTTTCAGAGAGAGGGAAGGCTTGATTTCACCAAGAATCCATTTGTTTTCAAAATTGTTCTGGTCTTGTTTTTTATCGTCCAGCTTCCACATTCACAGAAAGAAAAACATCATTACGTTTAAAGATCATTTCAAGCTCCTTCATCCTTGTTCTGCTGAGTGCCAATCTGTGTCATTATCTGTGTTTTCTTCATATTGAGCTGAAGACCAATCTTTTCACTCTGTTCCTGAACTCCACTTGTAAGGGCCTTCAGGTCTTCCTGATGTTCCACTATGTGTATTGTGTCATCCACATACTACTTATTACAAGATTATTGATGTTTCTTCTACTAATCTTGAATCCTCAATCATCTTCCCTCAGTCCTGCCTCTCTTATTATGTGTATAAAAAACAGGTAGAACAATTATGGTTACAGTATGTAGTCTCCTTTGCAGACGTGGAATCTGTTTGTCCATTTTCAGTCATGAGTGTGGCTTGCTGATATATCTATATTGTGTGAGCCATACAGAAATCATAGCTTTTCTAAAAACATCCTGCCCCAATTTTAGGACACCAAGAGTAACTTAGACATGATAAGATGCTGGGACAATGCTTTGCCCGGCCTGTTTGCTGCTCTACCTGGGCCCCCTACCCAATGCGTATCGCTGGCCTTTTTCATACTTGTTATTAACATCTGTCTCGAGTGATCACGAGTGGACAGCAAGATGTGTTGCAGTTTACACACAGTATTCCCAGGAGTGTGAAATGCATTTCCAATGACCACCTATGATCGTAATTTACGACTGGAGGAAAGCTACCGTGCACATTTACCACATAGGTCTCTTGTCTCTTATTGTGTTCATTAAGGCAAAAATGTGCCACAAGTACTTGCTGATGTACAGGCAAATGTTTAAATCACATGGACTGCGCAACTACATATTTTCATGACTGGTGTGATTACAAACTTGACCAGAGCAGTCAAGATGCTTCTATAAACGTCAGAATTTATCCTACTTCTGCTATTTATAACCACATCGTCAATACAGAACCAGTTCCACTGTCAGGCAGTGATACCTGACCATCCCACTGTGTCTTGGTATGCTTTGGAACAGAGAAAGGTTTTTTCCCCCTCCGCACTTTCCTCTTTTCTCCACTCTTGTACAGGTTAATATTTATGTAATCTGACCATTAGACTGTTCCTGAAGTCTGCAGATGTTTTAATCTATTTTTCAGACCTACCTAGTCTTTCTGTTCTTGAGGCTTATAACTGGTTTGCATCTTGTGGTAAACCCTCTCTCAGGTCATGCTGGTATGTTATTCTCTTTATGGTCTTTGACACATCTGTGCCAACATACAGGACAGTGTTTTTGATCTGTTAAGTTGAAAAGGGGGCTTTCTTCACGATTGAAAGTTTTCTCCAGTCATTGACTACTGTGGTCTGTCAGGTCATTTGCTAGTGCTAAGTTCATTGCATTCCAGTGCATTTCTTTTTCTTAACCATGTACCAAACTTGACTTTGGCAATGTCTCCAGCTTGTTTTTGGCTTGTTAGAATCATTTATAAATGACTGTCAATAAAGCATATGCTTATTTATTATTATATACGCTATTTACAAGCATAGAATTTCAATGCATTTTTAAAATAATTCTGAATAAATCTGAAAAATAAATCAACCAAATCTCATCGTGGTGAAATATATTCTGAGATCAGAGATTTATATCCCTGATATTTACCTATAGATCCGAGTAGCGGTGTATTCCGTCCCTCCCCATCAGTGGAGGACAGGAGGTGTGTGCGTTTCTTTAGGGGTGTGGCACACTCAGAAAAGCCGCTGGCCGTGGAACAAGTGATGCTGAAGCCTGTCACACCCATAGGTGTGCCATGACCTGAAATACAGAATCATTTTGCTTATATACATAGGTTATGGCCTCATTAAGCCTTTCAGACTAAGAAACCTGACCTAAGACCATTACTTTCATGTACTTTTATTCAGTGCTAAAAATTCGATGTTTGAATTTACTTGATTCAAATGTGTACACCGGTTCTACACGAATGAAATATAATACACTAACGCAACTGTTCATTTAAGTTACTTCTGGCAAGCATTGTGTTGATGTAATGTATTTTATTAATGTGAAACCACTGTATACCTTTGTATCACGAAAATTCCATGCAACTCTTTTTGAGTGCATTCTTACTTTGAGACAGTTGATAAAAAATGAACCCATATCTAAAAAATCTGAACCCTTTCTTCTTCTTTCCATTTCCTTTTCTCATAAATTTCCAGGCAAAACAGCCATTAAATGAAAAAACAGGAGTTTCCAAAACTGGATTCAAAAAATACTAGAATATATAGAAAAAAATGGAACTGACAACTAATGTAAGACCCGTCAGACCATCAAAACTGTCACAACCAGATAAACAGTGCTTAAAGCTTTCATCTTTTAGAGACTGGAGAAAATCAACCTCTCTTGCTTCAGATGTGAAAACATTCACAGGTGTTTCTGTCCATCCTTCCATTGTGAGAAGACAACTCAATGCTATGAGTCTGCAAGGACAGCTGTCAAGAAGCTGTTACTAAGGACAGGAAATAGACAAAAAAGTAGAAAATTTGCAAATGCTAATCACTCAAAGAAGCTGCTGGTGTTCTCAGAACAAGGGACTGATCACCCCAGAGTCATGACCGCCACACTGCGGAATGCGTTTGAGATTACTTGGATTGTGAGAGGAAGAAAATGACATTTCTACGCCTTCAAAGAACTTTGGAGGTGTGGAAAATTTCTGATTGTTTTCTGCTTCACTCCTGACACTGAAAGATAAATAACTTGTATTCAAAGGGTGTTTTGACTGGAAATGTACAGTACTGTGCTCTTGGCATTGATGCATGATCCTTTAAAGTTATTAAAAAATACATTTAATAACTTGATAGAACCTTGTACACAAACACACACACATATTGGCCATAGCTCACAACCATCCACCTGTTCTGGAGAAATCTCCTGCCAGAAGGCCTCTCCCCATCCTCATATTACAGGCAAAGTCCATAGGTGTGAAAGAACTTTTCAGGGGCGTATCCGACTGCAGAGCAAAGCATGACATGCATTACAACAGGCTCTGGTTTTTCCACCCTCCATATAAAGCATCATTTCTACAGCAGCAGTTGAATTAGTAACATGTCTTGGTGGGATCTGGTGTTATGGTTCGGCGAATTTATGCATTGCACAAACAACAAAAGAACACACCGACGCCATTAGACTCTGTGGGACTTCAACTCATTGATATTTGGTGTAATAATAGCAATCAGAATCTTATCTTTATTTGTTTACAACAAAGACCATTAAGCATTCACTGCCCTTCCAAGTTTGTTTGCTCACTACATAACAACATAAACATTGAGCATTCACTCCTATAATCTCTTCATTAAAAAAACAACAATCCTACAATTTATAACACTGATAACCGTAATTTACAGCTATACTTCATAATTATACTGTGTCAACAGCTGAATGCCTCTTCAAGCTAGTGTACCAAGAGATCTGATTAGGCACTGTGTATGTCAATGCATGTATAACTCTCATCAAAATTACAGACTGTATGTCAAAATATCCAGACACCCCTTCTAATTAGTGGATTCAGCTACTTTAAGGTGCGCCCACTGCTGACACAGATGTAAAAATGTGCACACACAGCTTGTATAATTCCCATAGAAAGGCACTATTTGTAGAATGAAATGTTCTTGAGCAGCCACACACTATCCTAAGATCACATATGCACAATGCCACACACCAGTCAGAAGGCTGTAAAGCTCCTCAGCATTGGACTATAGAGCAGTGGAATTAAATTATGTTAAAATATCTTCATTTTATTCATTTTACTGCATTTGTAACCTGCAAACTGTTACATTTCTCTGTAATGATAATCTAGGTGGTTAGTCTAGATTTCTACATTTTATACATGCATATATATTACGCATCAGCGCTGGCATCATAAGATATGTACACGAAAAATACTGTATATTGGCATTGGTCCCGAATTCCCTTAGTGGTGCATTTCTAAAAAATTCCAGAAGCACATGAGGACGAAACAATGAGAAGAACTAAAACTCAACTCATCCTTCACTGGTTTACACTGAATTGCCCAATTCATGGCAAACAAATTAGAATTCCAGTTTGATTTTAATTAAACATTAACCAGATTCAGATCTTACACGATATTCATATGAGCTAATGTTACATCTAACATTAGCGCATGATACAGATGTATGAGCTAATGTTAGATGTAAGCACTAATGTTAGATTGTCCAAAAAAGCACTGGGTTAGCAATAACGTTGAATATATACTGTGTTGGATTCCAGAGTATGGTAGGTAAGAAGTTTTTAACACACAGTAAGGCAGATGTACAATGTCCAGAAAAAGATTAGGAGTGCAGGGATCATCAACAGTCATCACCTTTAATACAGATTCTAACAAGAGAGCAAGGAGGCAGTCATGATTGACTATTCATTAGTCAGTGATGAAATTGTAGTCATTGACTAATGAATAGTCAAAGCACCATAAAATACCTTTGGGAGTCTCATTTGTGTTCCAGATATAATTATCCAATACCAGTACCTGATCTCAATAGCATTCTTGTGGCTGAATCCCATCATAACATATTGTGTAAAGCCTACCCAGAAGAGCAGAGATGTTTAACTGGCATGTGTCTGGACACTTCTGGACTGCTTACAAGTGCAGACATGGTAAGAGTCTTACTCTGAATGTGTGTGTGGTGTTGGGTCGGGACAGGGACTCCAGTAGTAGAGTGGGCTCTCTCAGGGGTGGCAGGCTGGACACAGCATTCATGGTGCCAGCCACTCCACCTCTCATGATCCTCCCTCTGAGCTGCTAAACAAAAGCTAGGTGAGCTCACGCCATCCATACAGTTCCATCACAATATATGCAAGAATACATTTAGCCTACAGTGTTGGGCAAAGCAATGATTTATCAAAACTGGTGCAAAGGTACCAGGGAAGGATCACTGACGAGGTCAGAGTGCACAGGGGCCTCTGACTGCCAGCGATATCAAACGCATGAAGCAATTATGATACTGTTTCTCATTCGTAACTCATTGAAACGAGTGCCAACATTCCGTCAAAAGTGTGGATTCTAAACATTCAATCCATACCACATACATACTTATAAGCAGAAGAAGAAGTAGAAGAGGAGGTATTTTTTATTTTATAAATCTGATGAAAAGTTAATGTCATGTGTACAGATCTTGTTTGTTTTTGCCATGTTTTGTTTTGTTATTTATTGACATAAAACAGACGGAAAAATGTTGGCAGTTGCAAGTTAAACATGTTGATGTAATTTACAGGATGTAAACTGAATATAAACGTAATTCATAACATAACTACAATTAATAATGTGAGTATATAATTACACTTATATAATGTAGCAAAATGACAGTATTAACTGTAGATGTCTAATAATTAGGCAGCCAGATCCAGCCAGACTGGTCTAATGTGTTACCTGCGTATGTCTGGGAGCAGAAGTGTTATAGTCTTGTTCGGTAGAATCATTGTGGATGAGAGGAAGCCTGTTGTTCTGCACTGCACTCACAGGTGAGGAGAGCAGGTCCTCAGCCACAGTGGATCTGCAGCACACACACACACACACACTCACCAATTAGCAGTAGCATGTTTACTCATGCCTAATATGCCTGCAGATGCTCTGAGCTAGCTCTGTGATCGTTCCCAGTGATGACAAGGTTAAAAGTGTTACAATTAATAGGGTGCAATGCAGCTTTAGGGACCAATTTAACAAGCTGCTTTTCACAGGAGTATGCACTTCAAAAGATAGCCCCTGTCTGTGATTAGCAGGACCCCGCAAGACCTTTTACAGTGCAAAATGTGCAGTCGTCACATTATTTTGAAGCGGTTGCATCATACAAGTTTGCCATACTACAATGTTGTGGAAAACAGAAAGACAAGAAGTAGCGAACTATCTACGCTAAACAGAAAAAGCAACATGTTTTCATTGCTTTAGCTTCAGTGCCCATAGTCTTATGTAATGTATTGTTGGCTATATAGTCAAGACTTCGGCTTTTTGTCTTTGAGCCCATTAACGTCTGCACTTTCAAAACTGGGATGCTTACATGTCCAGATTCAACGTAGTGAAAGGTATCAGTATGTGAAATTGTGGAACCTTCTGTGTGCTGCTGTTTTCTATAACTATATAAAATATAAAAAGTTAGATAAGATAGATAAAAGACTGATCTGAAGTGTGAATTTCTATTCATAGATTTGCTTGATGAAAATGATAGTTTGTGACACAAACAAAATATTTATGAGTTTTCAGCTTTGTTAAATTGTGTCCGTTAATAACAAAATAAATGAGACAACAGCACTGGGAAATTACATCATCAAGGGAGAAGAGTTCAAAAAAAGGCAGAAATAGACACTTTTGGTCCCAGGGAACACTGTATCAAAATGTTTGTTTGATATTAAAAATGAGTGTTATATTAAACATCTAGCAACATTTTAATAAAAAACAAGATAGAAATATGATAAAAGCTTTGAAACCAATGAGGAGACCTATCTGGAACTGTCTGTGTGTGGTCCTAATACAACCCCATTTCCAAAAGAGTTTTGACGCTGTGAAAAATGTAAATAAAAACAAAATGCAATGATGTGCAAATCATTTAAACCCTATATTTAATTGAAAATAACAATAGACAACAAATCAAATGTTGAAAATGAGAAACTGTATTGTTTTCTGAAAAATATATACACATTTTTGAATTTGATGTCAACAACACGTTCCAAAAAAGTTGGGACGTGGGCAACAAAAGGCTGGTGAAGTTGTGTAATGCTAAAAAAAACACCTGAAGGTTAATTGGCAATAGATCAGTAGCATGATTGGGAATAAACAGAGCATTCCAGAGAGAGCATTTTTCAGAAGTAAAGATGAGGAGGGGTTCACCACTCTGTGAAAGACTGCACGATCAAATAGTGCCACAACTGAAGAATAACATTTCTCAACATAAAATAGCAAAGAACTTTTGCTTTTCATCATCTACAGTACATAATAACATAAAAAGATTCAGAGAATCTGGAGAAATCTCTGTATGCAGGAGACCAAGCCAAAAAACAGTATTTGCTGGCCATGATCTTTGGGCCTTCAAGCAGCACTGCATTAAAAACAGACATAATTCTGTAGTGGAAATCACTGCATGAGCTCAGAAACACTTCTGAAAACCACTGTCTGTAAACACAGTTGGTCACTGCATCCACAAATGCAAGTTAAAACTGAAAAATGCAAAGAAGAAACCGAACATAAACAGGATCCAGAAATGCTGCCACCTTCTCTGGGCCCGAACTCATTTAAAATGGACTGAGGGAAAAGTGGAGAAGTGTCCTGTGGTCCGACAAATCAACATTTGAAATTCTTCTTGGAAATCATGGACACTGTGTCCTCCGGACTAAAGACCACTCAGCTTTTTATCAGCGCACAGTTCAAAAGCCAGTATTCATGATGGTATAGGGGTGCATTAGTGCACATGGCATGGGTAACGTGCACATCTGTGAAGGCACCATTAATGCTGAATGATATATATATATGTTTTGGCAACATATGCTGCCATCCAGATGACATTTTTCAGGAAAGGCCTTGATTATTTCAGCAAGACAATACCAAACCACATTCTGCATGTATTACAACAGCATGGCTGTTAAAAGAGTCAGGTGCTAAACTGGCCTGCCTGCAGTCCAGACCTGTCACCCACTGAAAACATTTGGCGCATTATTAAATGAAAAATATGACAAATGAGCCCCTGAACTGTTGAGCAGCTGAAATCCTACATCAAGCAAGGATGGGAAACATTTCTCTTACAAAACTACAGCAATTGGTCTCCTCAGTTCCCAAATGCTTACAGAGTGTTGTTAAAAGAAGAGGTGATGAAACACAGTGGTAAACAGGCCCCCGTCCCAACTTTTTTGGAACGTGTTGTTGGTATTAAATTCAAAGCGGACATATGTTTTTCAAAAAACAATACAATTTCTCAGTTTGAGCATTTGATATGTTGCAGTATGTTCATTTAAAAACATGGTTTACATGATTTGCATATCATTGCATTCTATTTTTATTTACATTCTGCACAGCGTCCCAACTTTTTTGGAAATGGGGTTGTATTTTGATGCATGCCGGTGATTGAGGTGATTGACTGCCCTCAGTCAATTACCTGCATGTACACCTTGCATTACCATGTATTTTTTGTTCGGCTCGTACCTGGATATACTTTGGCCAAATTCCTTTTACATTTTTTACTAAAACGCATCCCCATTGTGACCAGATGAGATCCAATTTTATTTCTGCGTAAAAAGCACATCAACGCATATGTCATTTTGTCCTACTTCTGTTTACTGTTTTCCCAATACAACAAGTCAACAAGCTAAGTTGGACAATTTCATCAGCCCAGAGTGCAAGAAGGCTCTTTGTTGGGGGAACTCCAGCTTCACACATTCTCCATCTTTCATTTCATTATTTATTATCTCACCTGCTAGTCAGCACTAAGCACAAGCATTTATGCTTTCATAATTGTGTGCAGATAACAAAAACACATTCCATTTTTGCTTGTGTTAAATGTCGTCAAGACCCCACAGTGGCAACCTCTGAATGAAGTGAATAGGTGACCTGATTGTAATGACTGAATTACTCAGTCATCCAATCATAATCCGCTCACAACACATCCTGAATGTGTTTACACCTGGCTTTTCATGCAGTCAAGTGAAAACCAAGCGTGACTGGACCACCTAAAACGCATGATGATGCAAGGTGTAAACAGGCCTAAGACTCCCAGCCTGATACACCACTGAAGCAGAACTAAACACAACAACGCGAGTGGGAAGGGAGATGAGTAAACGTATTCAAGTCGTACTGTAGATCCCACTGTGTCCATGACTCACTAAAACAGATACTTTTTATATGGTGCTGTCTTAAGGAAGGTAAGGTTACATTCACTGTACTGCGAACAAATGAAAGACGAAAGAACGGAACAAACAAGCGGACAGAAAGATGAACAGATGAATGTGCGAGCAAATTGATGTTAGGTTAGCTTTTGCTCTTCATCAGTTCTCAGTAAGTTTCTCTGAGTCTAACAGAGAGAAAGAGGCCATAGGGCAGGACAAACCACAGGATTAGGACTGTCCAGTTTACATCGAATAAGGAGAATGTTGGCAAAATACACTTCACAGGATATACTTTGTACAACCCCATTTCCAAAAAAGTTGTGATGTGCAAAATGTAAATAAAAACAGAATACAAAGATAAGCAAATCATTTAAACCCTACATTTAATTGAAAATAGTACAAAGACAACATAGTACAAAAAACTGGTAAAGTTGTGTAATGCTACATGAAACACCTGCTGGAACATTTCACAGCTAATTAGGTTGATTGCCAACAAGTCAATAACATGATTGACTAAACATAAGCATCCCAGACAGGATGAGTCTTTCAGAAGTAAAGAAGGGAAGAGGTTCACCACTCTATGAAAGACCACATGGGCAAATAGTGCCACAATTCAAGAATACTGTTTCTCAATGTAAAATAGCAAAAGACTTGGGGATTTCATCACCTACGGTACATAATATCATTAAAAGATTCAGAGAATCTGGAGAAATCTCTGTATGCAAGGAACAAGGCTGAAAACCAATACTGGCTGGCCATGATCTTCAGGCCCTCAGGCAGCACTGTATTAAAAACAGACATGATTCTGTGGTGAAAATAATGGGCTCAGGAACACTTCTGAAAAGTACTGTCTGTGAACAGTTTGTTGCTGCATCCATAAATGCAAGTTAAAACTCTACCATGCAAAGAAGAAATCATATATAAACAGGATCCAGAAACGCTGCCACCTTCTCTGGGCCTAAGTTAATTTAAGATGGACTGATAAGAAGTGGAAAAGTGCCTCCAGTGACTCCACGTCCTTCGGGCTAAAGCAGAGAGGGACCATCCGGCTTGTCATCAGCGTATAGTTCAAATGCCAGCATCCATGATGGCATGGGTGTGCATTAGTACATATGGCATGGGTGATTTGCACATCTGTGAAGGCACCATTAATGCTGAATGATATATATAGTTTTCGTAGCGACAAAGGAGACTCTGAACTGTTGAGCAGCTGAAATTCTATATCAAGCAAGAATGGGAAAACATTTCAGTTCCTAAACTACAGCAATTGGTCTCCTCAGTTCCCAAATGCTTAGAGTGTTGTTAAAAGAAGAGATGATGCAACACAGTGGTAAACATGCCCCTGTCCCAAGTTTTTAAAATGTGTTGCTGGCATGAGACTCAAAATGTGCATATATTTTTCTTAAATACAGGGTTTAAATGATTTGCACATCATTGCATTCTGTTTTTATTTACATTTTCCACTGCGTCCCAACTTTTTTGGAAATGGGGTTGTGCTTGTTTATTGTGTACCCACAAGAGCAAAATGAACCTACTTTTTGGGGATAATATAGGATGGATAAGTGCCTGTATCTGAGTTTATAACTTACAGTCTGGTTCCTCGTAGGACCTGGGTGCTTTGTGCTGGGAGAATCTGGCGCAGCCTGGCTCTGCCATTGAGCCTGGGGAGCATCCGCTGGATTGCAGGTTTGTGTGAGAGTGCACTCGTCCCTCTTTGCCCCTGGGTCTTTACACACGTCAGTGAGCTGGCTCCATCGTCTGAGTCACACCTTCAACAGAGTCAACACAATCAAGACCCTTTTTCAGTAAAACTAAACTTTTCTTAATGATAGACAAAATAGCTCTGAGGTATTATCTGCCTAACATCCTTTACAGATGATATCATGGTCCTTTTGGCTAAACAAAAGACAGCAAAGTATTATATTCTCCACTAATTATGCACATCAAGATAACACATTGCTTAGTGTTGGCAGTTTCGTAGTGTAGCCTGAGAGGCCTGCAGCACTGTCCGCTGGATAGGCTATTATTATGTAGCAGTATTTTCCAGTGTAGCAGGAAGGGCTGCAATGATTTGTTTGATTTTGTGGGGATCAGACAAAGCTTTCCGAAATCCAGCAGACTTACAGAGACCTTTCGCCAAATCCCTGCTGTCTCTGTTGCAGAGGCTTTGCCTGGATTGTCATAACGCCGTTTAAATTAATCTTCAAGACACTTGAGTCCTAATCAAACACAAAATAAGAGAGAGTTACTTTTTAACGGCAGAACTTAGCATTCTGTAATTATGTTTATGGTAGTTTTGTTGTAGGTTTCTACCTGTGCATTATTGCTGTTGGCCCATAGGAACATGCTCCTGCTATTAGGGCCTCGGCTAGGGGAAACGTGATGGCCCCGAGACGGGAGGTGAGACGAAGTTTCACACAAAATTTGGCTGGAGATCTCCAGTGTCCTTCTCTGTGCTGGTCCATCTGATGCCAAAGCAGTATTTCAAGGTCAAGGGACATCTTCCTCAGTGAGCTTAAGTGCTTAAGCACATTAGCAACTCCAAATTTAATAAAAAACTAACTGAAGCACAAGAGAGTTCAAACAGGGTGCATCCAACAATACTCAATTATCTTAGTATTGCATTTAGGGCCTTACCACTGTGAAACTTTTGTCACTAACAACTAATAACTGATAATATTGTCTGACAAATTTATATGGCAAAAATTGCAATATCAAAATTTCTATTTCAGTTCCAACATTTTTAACTAAACAGAGCTTTACTGACTGATATGGTTGATTATCAGTTTTCAAGTGTCAAATTTCTTTTCAACAGAAACTCACAAACTCAAAGTAATATACACCACCATTCAAACACTTGGAATCACAGTTTTCAATATAAACATAAATTTGTTGCATGTACATGTATACAATGATTCTAACATGATGCTAATGTTCAAATTGTTTCTCACAAGCTGTAAAAAGCTTAATACATAACTGAGAAAGCTGGTTACCATTGTGAATGAACTTACAATAAAACTAATGTTTAAACTAGCTCATATTTGAAAAGCAATGACCAAATCTTACTCACCACATAGGTACGTATAATTATAATTTTGTAGTTTATTTAGTTATAGTTTTATTATTTAATGACATCCACAATTTGTTTTTATGTAATAACTAAACTTCTTATTGTTCCCAAAATCCTTTAAATTATAAAGCAGTTTACATTTTAGTGTTTAACATTTCAATCTACAATGTATAAGTTATTACTGAATATTGAATTATTGAACATTATTTAATCATTGTAAGACAGATGACTCCAAATATCTGAACAGCAGTGTAAATAGTGCAGCCCCTGGGCAGAGCTTCCCAGCATTCTTAGTGGCTTTGTTGGTTTCTCTTAATTGGCTTATTTTTTCATCCATTGTTATCAGACAAAGGGTTTTTGTTACATCATGTTATACAGGTCAGGTATAGATGCAATAGGGTTTAGTGTTAAGTTCAAGTCTATATTGTTGTAATAAAGGCGAGCAATTGGTTATTACCAGCTGAGCACTGAGTGTAAAGACTATAGTAAAAGCATAAAACCATTAAAATCCTCATAAATGAGTAATTCTATTAATATTACAGCAGTGTGTTCACACCAGGTGATACTGATAAATTCATGTAACCATAATAATGGCCAATTAGGTAGGGCCCAAATCTCTATATAGAGTGTTGAATTATGTTGTTGAACTGTTGCCTGTAAATTAGCATACAATTTACAATTCTGTGCCTACTTCACATGCACTCAAAAAGCATCCATTATTATATAGAAGCACTTATGGATGAGTGTGCACTGTCAGTTTCAGTTATGCAGACCTACCAGAGCTCTGCTTTTCCCAGTGTTTGTGTAAGAGCTCATCCAGTAGGCCCACTACTTCCCGCCATACGTCATCAAAAAGCTCATCAGCCACTGCGTCGCGGATGCAAGCTTTGGGGGACACTGGGGGGACCCCGTCCCGGGAGGCCGCAGCTGAGGCCTTCCTCTGATCCACCCCCTCATTTTCCCTGTGGTGGGGAGAATGACGCACAATGGCGTGAAGCCACACTGTCAAAACACACCCACACACACTTCACTAACAGCCCTGCTGGTGTAATCACATCATACAAGGAAAACAGAAAAATAGCATTACTTGTTATCAACATCATTGATTTCCCATTAAAGGAATAGTTCGGCAGACCAAAAAATTAATAAATAAAAAATTACATTTGCATGAAGTTTGCTGCTCTAGTTTTGTGGTGGAGCTAAAAGGCTTATGTAGCTAACAAATAAAGGAAGATTAAATCATTAAAACTGCAACCGAATTGCTGTTACAGCAACCATTATAGGCTGCTTGAATAATAAGAGAATAGTAAGAAAAAACTGTTTTAATTAGTACTGAGTGTTTTATTTTACTGTTTTATTCAGTTTATAGTGAAGCTCATATCAGTAATAGTAACCATGCTAATATAATATAAATTGCACAGAATTTGAATGAGATAGAATTAGGTGAACAGTACATTTGTTGTGTAACAAACTCTTGGGGCCTACATTTCTTTTCCATCGTAAGCAAGGAACTCCTCTATCCTGCCCTCGGCCTCATAGACCTCCTCTTCTTGCTGGATATGAGACAAAGAGAGCTCCGAAAGATGCAGCCTGGAGCACAGAGACCAGGGGCCTGGGGCTAGTCTGTGGCCCTCCACACACAGACTACAGGGAAAAAGAGAGAGAAAGAGGAGCAGGGTTGCAGAGAGAAAGATGAGAGAGAAAATTCTCATCATAGCTGGGCCAGACTGATAAATGCGCCACTTATGGGCATTTTTAGTGTCATGTCATGCCATTACTCCATACAGCAGTGCATACTTTAAATCGGGTATGGAGGCCTCGTGCTAGAAGGCTGGTAGGTGGGTAAACAGACAAAATAAAAATATGATTTGCAGTGCACTTTCTGTGCCAGTGGACGAATGCAGTCTGGTGAAGAAAAAGAGAGCCCTGAAACCAATCAATAGCATGAATCCATTCATCAAGAGCCGGGGCACTGAAAAAAAGGTACTTTAAAAGAAAAGATTGGCCATAAAAGTAAAGTATCTGTTCAAAAGTTTACCTGCTTGAGTGATTATATGGAACTTCAATAATGACCAATGAAGTCAAAAAACCTGAAAGCATCAAATGAAAGAGAGCTCCTGAGGGCACACTCTGATGAAGTGCTGGTTAGCCTTATACACACTGCCGCACTACAGCTGGGATTGAGGTTAGACTCCAGGTTGTGCAATTTGCTGTCCATATATATGGCAAAAAAGGCCACTTCTAGTTTGTGTGCCTGTCACATCTTTTTTAATGGTCTACCATAAGGTAAGCTGCCATTAGGTAGCTGTCGTTGGACAGCAGCTCTCTCCCCAGGTGTTATAAGATATGCCAGTTATACAAGTTTTGCATTGGACTTACGAGAGTAACGTAACTAGCAAGTTACAGCAATAGAAGTTTATACTCTACCAATTAGCACTGTGGTAACTGCGCCCCTAACTCACTAAAACTGCCTCAAATAAAGTTAAATCATTATTTGTTCAATGGAATGGTTCAACAAAAACTCTATTTTTTTTTACAATTTTTCCACGTTCCTCAGATATAGTTAATTAACCAAGATATGTTCGGTGTCCAAATTTTGCTTCTTTAGTTTTAAATTGAATGCTGCAGTAATTTGTAGTGTTCATGTGCCTGCGTGATGTGCGTGTATGCAAATGGATTTTGGCACAACATGTCTGCATGATGCTAACGAAGACCAGAATACAGTTTGAGCAGGTTAAGAGAGGTTTTGGTGATGTTTTGAAGGAATAATCACAGAGCAAAAAGTCTGTAAAAAAAGTCTCTAAGTACCAAAATGGTCAGGCAGGCTGGAAATGGGTGCCTCATGTTTTTTAATCTGGCCATTCGCAGCTCTGCAGCACGTGCCTCCCTCAGCCATCTGTCTTATCTGTGTGCCGCTGGCCTCATGCCCGCCAGGGCTAGTCATCATAGCTCTGCACTCTAGATAGCTCTCATTGGACAGCAGCATCAGACTCTACCACCCAGCAAGCTTTCACCCTCATTCATTCACACACTGCTACGCCACTGCTCCACAGCGGTACTATTACTAAACTGAAATGTTATATTAGTCAGTTAGTGCTGTGTTTTTTTCAGAACTCAGTGCTTAATCTGTCTGATTCAGCTGTACTGTCTTTTAAAGGTTTATCTTAACAGTATGTACAATATACACTATAACCTAGTTTATTAGGTATGTTCATATGTTCAACACTCATTGGCCACTTTATCAGTTCCAGTTACCATAATGGTGCAGTACCATAGTGATGCAGGCAGATAATTACTGACTGTAGCCCATCTGTTGCTGCACAAATTGCCAGCCAGCCTCTACTCCACCCTCAGTACTCCACCTTAAGATCCTGCTGACCACATATTATGTGGGTGGTACACCATTCTCAGTGTGGTAGTCTGTGTTGTGTCGGTGCAAGTGTAAGAAATGCAGCAGTGTTGCTGAGGTTTCTCAACATCTCAGCATCAACCAAAAATATCCAAGAAAGAGCAGCTCTGTGGTCAGAAACTGACTGATAAAGGGCCAGAGGATGGCAAAAACAAACTGCCCATGGAAAATGTAGAGTTATAGCCTCTAACTTTACACCTACAAGGTGTACAACAAAGTGGCCAGTACATGTACACAATGTTTAACAACATCAACAGTGTTGCTGTAACTGACACTACAATGCTGACATCACTCCTAGGCACCACCACCCAAACAATATCTAGTCAGCAGTGGCCCTATGGGGGTCACTTTCCTTTGATGGAGGTGGTACAGTGTGGATGACAAATTGTGCAACAATAGATGGGCTACAGTCAGTGATGGTACACCTAAAAAGTACATCTATACTCTTGAGGAAAAGGGGCCAAAAAGTATTTGTCGCATGATGACATAGAAGAACCACTTTTGGTTTCCTAAAAACAAAAATGAAATGTGTGAGTGTGGGTGTGAGGAACCTTTTCCAAGTCTAAATAACCACTACATAATGTAAAGGTTCTAGAAAGAGCCTTCAAAGTTCCCATATTGTGGGAAACCACTTATTCAGTCTACTGAAGTTTAGCCCCACACATTTATATTGAAGTTCTAAGGAGAGTTTCAGCTCTTTTTGAGTTGAATGAGTTACAGTACCAGACTGCCAGTCAAAACAGATCTAATTTATCCTAAATCAGTGTTAAAGACACAGTAACAAAAACTGCCTGTTTAATTTTAAGGGATGAAGAAAGGTGTAAAATTAAATAATGACCATTTTTGTTCCATAAACCACAGAAAGGACTTACGTGGACCTCAAGGGAAAAGAAAAAAATATAAAAAATGTAGGATATGAGCCCTTCAAACATGGTTCTTTATGGTTCTTTCACTAAAAGTGTTTCTTCTGTGGCATCAATTGAAGAGGTGGCACCTTTTTAGAGACTGTATATAGTACGTATACTTGATCAAATGACCAGTGGATGTAGATACAAGGTAGGTGTACCTCACAAACAAGCAACTCAGTGTAATACGAATAAAATAAGACATAAGGGACATTCTCATTGGACAGTGTTCACATTTGGCTGTGGAATCCTGCTTTGTGAAATACTCTTCTTGTGTATGTGTACTGTTAGAGTATGTGCTTACTCGCTGTGATCTTCTCTCTTGTCTAGGCAGGAAGGTGATGGAGCAGTTCTAGCACTAGTGGCTCTCCTGTGCACATACTGCACCCCCTCCTGCTTCGGAGGCTCCAACTGATTTCCTAAAATCCTGAGTCAGGAGCAAGTGCAGTTAGTGAAACTGGTATCAGCACCTGTAATATTTTTTTTATGTATTTGGGCAAGCTGGTTGTGTACCTGAGGTGGGGAGAGTGTGTGTTCCATTCCTCACACTCTTTCTGCAGGGCCTCAGATTTACTGCTCAGCTTCCCTTCGTACAGCAGCTCATCCAGTGCAGTGAAGAGTTGTCTTACATGCTGAGTGTTTGCCCTGTCGAACTCCTGTACACACAACACACAGCACATCCCACACCATTACACCATGAAGAGAGGAGGTTGGCCTGCATTTGTTTGTACTATCCTTCAAATCTTCAGAATAAGATCAGTAGTTATAACAATGTTGATGGAAAGTTTGCTTTTATGAGGATAACAAATCAACTTTACTATGTATCAACTTTACTATGTGTATCAGTCATGTGGACAGTAAGGCATAGTTTGCAGAGAGGGTATTTGGTTGGATAAAAAGATATCTATCTGAACAATAAGCCAAAAATAAGCCTAGAGATTAGGATATTAAAGAACAACCTGAAAACAAACTATAACAAGCTATAACTATAAAATCCAAGATGAAACTAGGATTTAATTTCTGGAAATAATTTACAAACTGGTTCCATGCTTCACTCGAAAAATGAAAAAGAAATGTCGTAGCTGTTTGCTCTGGAATCAGAAGATTACAAAATCCCCATACTTTAATAATTTCGCAGCAACTTTCAGGCACAGTGCTGACCAGCTATCTCACAACTGTGCTGATCTCTTCAACCAGTCACTGGCCCCAAGTTTTGTACTTCCTTGTTTCGAAACCTCTATTATTATTCCGGTTCTCGGAAATATTACAGACCATTTGCCTTAACCCTTAATCTCTAAGGGTCCATATGGGCCCACACTTCAGTTCCTCACTCTCATAACTACAGAACTTATATATTAGTTTAATAGCTCCTGCACAATAGTTTATAGTAGTCTTTTAAGCAATTCAACATAAGAGGGAATGTGTTGCTTTTATACTATAGTATAAAAGTAAAGGAAAGCTGCCCTGAACACTGTAGCAAACATGCTTTGATACTGGCAATATCTTTCGCCAAAAAAAGTAGTAGCCTTTTGCGTTACAAACAGAGCCACAAAACTGTCACAGTATCAAGTTCAGCTTGGCTTTTTTTTATTTACTTGAATGTCGTCAGAGTTGGATGTAACCCTGCTGTCACACTGTTCTTCATAATCTAGCCAATCAGGCTGCAGATTCAATATTATAATTTATTCAAAGTAGAAACAGAGGTAGAAACAGTTAGCTGCAGTATCCACAGAGTCATTATTTAGTATCTGGTGATAAGCAGAATGATACTTTTAATCTGAAAAAGAACATGCTGTTATCAGAAATAGCAACCAATTAGATTCTGTCATCTGAATTAAGAATGAATTAACAATAAATAATAAATGAGTCTAATAGCTGAATAACAGGCGTTGAGTTCAAAGGGTTAAGCTTAGTTATTATGAATCACTGTAAGGCACTCATCCTGAATCACCTCAAAACCAAAACTGATGGCTTCCAAGATCCTCTGCATTTTGTATACAGAGCTAACAGATCTGTAAATGACACTACCAGCCTGGCTCTGCACATCTTGCAGCTCGTGGACAGCTCTCACATTCCTGCTCGAATTCTGTGCTTTCATCTCAGACCTACTTAAAGACAAACTGAGACAGCCTGGTGTTCTCCCCTTGATCTACGACATCTTAACCAACAGGGAACAGTACATCAGGTTGGGTGACCATGTTACACTTAACATCTTCTTCAGCACTAGGAAGAAATAAGCAATACTGCTGGAGCTGGTGGTGAAAGGAACCAGAGTTTGTAATGTCATAAAAACGCAAATACAGCAATTGTATTTGCTCTTCAAAAATAATTTCTTTGGGAACTATTTTCCTTAACAAAACCCTGCATGTCCACCCTGAACTGATTACTATGTTTTATCAAACTTTAACTCAAAACAATGTCTCAGGCATCAGGTAACGTACTGGCATCATTAAATCCTTTGGATGTCTGGTTCCTCTCATCACCGTTGTGACACGGTTTTCTCTAGAATGGCTTCAAAACACTCTGAATCACTTTGTTTACATGGCTATTCAATTTTGCAGACATTTTAAAAACTGATAGAATTCCCTTTTAAAGGATTAGGTGTTTTGCCAACCATTCATACACATCTCAGGTCATTAGTGACCTGAATTTATATCTAATTGATTTCTTGTGAACAGTGACCCCGTTATGAATTTAAAGATAAGGTCAGTGGATGACACCACTCTGATTCATCTCAAACTCGACCACCTGGAGCTGAACCCCTTTGGAAATAGTCACCAGTTATAAAAGAAAGGATTTGTGTGCAAGCCTCAAACACCACTTTGGAACCACTGAACACTATTTACTCTCTATCCCATGATATAAAAGTCACAACAAACTGCAGACAGCTCACCCACCAGTATGACCCAGTCGATAAAGTAAATAGGATTCCATTGCTACCACAAGGTTGAGGTCCTTCTACCTACAAAGCTTTCACTTTATACTTCTGCTCTTCATTCAAAAGACCACCTTAAATTTATTAGCTCTGCTCCCAATCTTTCACTATCCCAAAAGGAAAACCGAGCCTTTTCTCACCAACTTAAAGGTGGAACAATTTCTATCACTGTACGACTTTCCTCCCTCTTGGTAGATGCAGCTGATAAATTGCACTGTTCGCTGTACTGTTCAAAAGAACACAGCCTTCTGACCCTCATTCCACCCTTCCTTTGCAGGAGTAACCTTGTGAGAGTTCTTTGGTTAAATAAAAGAGATAAAAATCAATAAGTAAATAAATAAATAAAAGAAACTATCCATGCTGAAATAAACTGCCTCTTAAGATGTATTATTCAGTGACTACTATAATTATTTAGCAACTACTTTGAAACTATTATGTAGTTGTGAAAGTGAGGAATTTAACTATTCGCCCACATACAGGCCATTAGGGTTTAATGGGTCAGTATCATGAGAAAATGAATTTTACTCATTTATTTTAAATAAAAGAGTTAGATGTAGCACATAAAAACATTAACGTGTTCAAATGTTAATGTTTCAAAACATAGCATTCATTACTCAGTCCATAGAGCCCATACATGGAAACTAAGCTGCAAAAACAGCCTGTTTTGAATACACTGTCATGGGAACCAACCTTTTAAGCATATACGTTTATTCAGGCTTATTCAAGCTGTGTACTCCTGCCCATTTATTTTGAAATTATAATGTTAATGTTTTTTGAATGTGACACAATACAGGACAGCCAATCAGCACAGAAGTCTTAAAGTCAAGTGACAAAGTAATCTGTTTAATTCAAAATTGAAGAAAAATGCAAGACAGGAGCCCTATAAGGGATTAATCAAATCACATTATGTTTCTGGAATCACATATACTAAATGGTCAGGGGATATAGCAAGAGAACAGATGGTGTAATAATTCTTACATCGTATCTCCAGGAGTAGATGGAGCTGTGTTCGGTGGAGAAGCCCGTGGCACAGCCAGCGCTGCCTGAACAGGAGGTGAGGCGGCTCACTGGGCTAGCACCACCAACGGAGGACTGAGAACACGCCGAGACGCTGCCAACACAACAGGGCCAGAGGCATCCCAATTACAGCACTGCTTGATAGAGGATATTTATTTGGAGGATGAAGCTCATGCGTGACAGCACGAGTCTGATACTGCCCAATTTGGACATGAAACACAATATCACTAGTTCTCTGCTGTAAGGTGAGAGAATTGCAGCTCTATGCAGACATGGACAAATTACCTTTGGTCACTCGATAGGCCTCTGTCAATGCTTCTGGTGAGCTGGAGAGGAACTGAACAAATGTATTTGTTGGGTTCTTTCAGAAGCTTCTTCCTTGAGTACAAAAAAGAGAGATACAAATACACATAACTCCTCAGTTTTAATTAGTATTACAGGTAGACAGAAAGTGTGGTTATACACTTGTCATAGTTCAGAGCATAAAAGAATATCATGAAAACAGGTATCATTTTTACTTGCTTGGCAGAATGAGGAAGTTTTAAAAATAACAAAATCTCTAACATTTTAATTGTAGTTTCTATAGATTTGAAAAGAAAAAACATTTTTCTTTGACACTCTAATTGTCAGCAGCTTGTAAAGGGCAAAATGCGCCGCTCCAAGCTTTCACTCTTTGTCTGAAACTGCCCCTTATCCAGCTGGTAATTATTATATGAATAATTTAGATAGTACAAGATCAAAGCACAATATACAGCCATGCTGGAGTGTCACATTTATCACTATGACGACATGTAGCATCTATTAAAATGGAAGGGTGTTCATGAATGCTGATTCATAGGTGCTAATTTTTGCACAAGTTCTCATTTGATATCAGTTCACTTTACTAAAACAATAAGAAGAAAATAAGTAGAATTTTGAAGTGGTTTCAAAGACATACTTAAAATGACTTAAAAAATAATATTTAATAGCTAAACATAGCTAAATAGTTAACATACTGTTAACTCACTGTCAAAGTGCTGCCGCCATACCAAAACCTCATAACTCATATTTAAAACTTTCATAATATTTGAAAACGCCAGTGGCCTATTACATTGAGTGAACGTTTAATGAAAAATAAACCAAGAGAAATGGTATAATATCATGTAGGCCTTTTATTCTTTCTCAAGTCTGTAAATGTCAAGTGGTGTGACCGTTCAACCATATACAATCACATGCAAAAGGCTGATCAGCTCTGGTCGAATTACATGTGTTGTTGAAGTGAAAATAAAGCATCTTCAACAGGAAACAAATGTAAATATTTTTGCACAATTTCTATTTATTGGCTGTGTTTATAACATTGGAAAAAAATCAAACACAAAATATAATTACTTTTGGACATATTTCTCCTCCAATATGTTAAATTAATCTAATAAACAGTAAATTTGCATTAAAATAAGCAGAAGTGGTTTCTTTGTAGAAAATGTGTACTTCTTTTTACTTAGAAACTAACTCAACTAAAAGGGCCATCAAACTTTTGCATATGAATGCATGCAGATTAAGTTAACTATTAAAAAGACAATTTACTTTTATTCTGATGATTTTTCTACATAATTTGAACATGGCAGCTGTGTGTGGGTATTGTGCAAAATATATAAAACATATTTATGGATAACACCTCTCCAGATAACTCAGATAACTCCCTTAGTCTTGCGGAACTGAAGGTTCAGCGAAATGCCATAAATGTGTAAACCACTTACCCAACGACAATGAGTCCTACGCCCCTGCCCATGCAATCTGGCCCTGTCCTGTAGCAGTCTGGGTAGACGTGACTAAGCAGGGAGGCCAGGCTGGGTACAGAAGGGGCACACTCAAAGCTTCCCAAAGCACCACGCATGAGTACCACTTGCTATTGTGCCCCCAGTATAGAACCCAGTGAGGGGAGTGCATTTACCGACAGCCTCCTAACCTGTCCATCCAGATAACCTCCAGAGTCCACAGGAGAATCTCTGTTTACCTGCCTGCTCTTTCAGCTCCAAAAGGTCAGAGCAAGCCCCAGGGTTAAGACTGCCAGATCAGCCACAGAAACTCATTTGCTCCCTCGCTACCTCCCTCCCTCCCTCGGACTCCCTCTCTCCTCACCCAGTCTTCAGGTCTAATGCCCCATTTGTTTAGCTCCATCAATGGAAGGTGCTCTTCCTCAACCGTGCCTCTCTCCTGAGCACTACAGGTGTCTGATGGGACGACCAAGCCCCAGATGACTCACGCACTTCTACGCATCACACTCATGACTTCCTACTGCTCTTGGGAGTTTCCCTCTCCCCTCCCATTCCCCCTCCCTTCCTCTTTCATTTTCCATTTGCATCCTTGCCTGACTCTGCCTCCAAGCAACAGAGGTGCACTGGCAGGCACAAAGGGCAGAGTAACCTCTTTCAAACAGGTTACACAAGAAACACTACACTGGCCTCCATTCACAAGAAGTAAAGTCTGATAATGGCCTCTATCCTCAGAAGAAAAACATGAAAACTGAATTAGGTGCCCAAATTTAGAACCTGGGGGACAGAAGGATGCAAGTTCATGGCACACAGCTGGCCAGAAAGCATGGAAACATGTTGAGTAATGTCCTAAACAGAGCTGAGAGTTCTTCCATGAGCTTAAATGCTGTTGGCTTTCTAATAAGCCAAGACATAGATGTACAGAAAGGCTAAGTACTCCACCCTCTGGTGAAACAAAATCACTCTCCTAAAGCTCCAAAACACATTTCACTGTTATAAGTAGATATGGCACAATACCATTTTCTCTGATACTGAAACCAGTACTGACACCTTTGCCCAATTCTGATCCAACTAAGCTTTAAAATTAGCTATTTTAATCAGATGGCAGTAAAAACAGTTTGTGTTCAAACTGCTCAAACAGTACTCAACTGGATGGAAACATATAGCCAACCACATAACTCTCACAGATATAAGAATATGTAAAATAAAGGAATTGTAATTACAGTCACCGCGACCCAGAAGGATAAGCGGTTTAGATGATGGATGGATGGATGTAATTACAGTGTAACCGTTAGCTACCTAATCATTATTCTTATGTTAGTGCTAGGCTACATATGATTAGCGTACCTAGCATATATATATATATATATATATATATATATATATATATATATATATATATTCGTTACGTGTATATATATATATATATATACCAAACGTGATAAATTCACGACATAAAAACTAAAGTTTTACTCAATTAACTTCATAAAGTAAAGAATAAAATAAGCTTGATGCTTATCAGCACTTTTCTGTGACGCTTAGAATGAGCTTAAGCTGTGCTTTGTACTATCTGTTGCGTGATGCGGAGTTTGTCTTTGTGTGTGCACTAGCCTTTAGATAGCTGCAAAGTTTTTCTATGCTTCCTTTTTGAGCTAAACGGATTAAAACCTTTGATCAAAATGTAAGACGTAGACTTACATGTCATGGTGCTTAATCCCTTACATGGTCATGGGCCCACCAGCAGGCCCAAAGTTTTTTTACATGCTTCTATAACCTGAGAACAGCTAAACTAGTTTGCACTGAAGTCCCTGTCGTTACTGAATAATAAGCCTTAGTATGTAATAAGCCTGAGATTTAAAGGGGTTAAATATGAGAACATATAATGTTAACAAGAACTGCATTAAAAAAAATTACTATGTGACTTTTTAAACTTCAATGAATATTTGCATATTCCAAAATTCCAACTCATCCTTAATAATGACAAGCAATTTTGTGATATTTAATGCTTTATCTGCTAAAGAACTGAATGGTATTCTGTCTTTTTTCTTCCAATATTTCCAGCATTTTCTGCTGGTATCAGTCTGATACTGATACTGAACATCGGTGCCACCTCTAGAAGTAACTCTTACACAGACGCAATTCTTCCCAACGCATAACTTCTACTGAAATAAAAAATACACATTCACTGCTAAAACAAAAAAGGGAGACTTAAGAGGGAAAAGGATCGATACGCTCCCACAAAAACTACACCCAAAACCCATGACAAGAGGGAGGGAAGACAAGAGAAAGGAAAACTAATTAGCGGGAGAGTGAGGGCTTTAACGGCTGGCGGAGGTCAAAGAGGAACTCTGGCACCGACGGCAGCTCGGGTTTCCCTCACAGAGCAAACAGCAAATAATTTCAGCAGCCCGCTCGCCAGGTCCTTATGAAACATGCATGACCTGCATGGCGGCCGATAGACTCTGCGGACTGACGTGGATTCATTTTTCGTCAGCTTGTTACCACCAAACACAAAGGGACAGTGATTTCACAGTAGAGACACCTTGTAACTCCTCAGCTCCATTTCACAAACTGGGCTTTGACACAGACTGTACAGAACTGAATGGGACCATTTGAGTTATTTATATTTGAACACTGAATGCATCTGGGTCCTGTCCCAGTAGAATCTGACTGCCATTCAAACCGAAAAGTGTCAAAAAACCCCAAGGACATCAGTTGGTTTTCCTGGAGGTTTGATACTTGATAATTCTGCAGATCTGAAGGCTAACGCTAGATGTCACTGAATGAACAGCTGCTGAACAGGTGCGCTATGCAAGAATAAATGAGTAACAATCAGCCTTTTGTGTCTGCTGTTACTGATAAAGCAAACTTACCTTGTGATAGCATTAGTTATATTTACACTTTTCTCTCTCTTATTTTCTTACCAGTTTGTCCAGCCTCCATAGAAGCAACATGTACAAGGACAAATGCTGCTTAAAGACAAACATTTGGTCACTAAAACTGACTTTGGATAAGACAAAAAGCCATGCATAATGCATTTTAAGCACATTTCTATCATTAATCCTCAAAACAACTGAATTAGCTTAACGCAAATTAGTTTTATTTAAAGTTAAGGTAAAGTTTTATGTAAGTTTAATTATTCTACTTTTCTGAGTTCACTTTTTTTAATCATACAGCCTTACATGGTTTAAACTGCACTGAGGTTGGAGAGTACACTGCCATGCAAAAAAAAAAACAGCAAAACATTAAGCTTTTAATGGTCTTAAATGACAAATCATCAGTCAGTACATTAGCAAGAGTTACACAAATAGATAAAATGACTTAGTATGGGATAGCTTTTCACTCTGATTTCTGATCTGAAAAATATGCTCTACAGAGTTTAAATCTGGCCAGGCAATCCTTAGTATTGAGGGCTAGGCCCATTTTTTACACTAGAGTGTAACTTACCAGCTATTTGTCATTTAACAGTTTAATACTGTCGTATATAAATAAAAACATAGCTGTAATATAAACAGTTACAACACAATTATTGTCTCATGAAATATGTTTAGGGTGGATTCAGGTATCATGGGACACATAACAAAGTACAGTGTGTTAGGTAACATAGGACATGCACATAGGGTCTCAATGACCAAGCCCTTTGCTCCAATTCCCTCATAAAACTACTTCTGTTTTATTTCAATGCAATAATTTAATTAGCCTATTAACATTATTTAATTGTTAGTTTACTAAATATATATTTAAAAAGACTTCATATCAATCACGCTCAGACTGATTTTATTTTAAATATTAGGATTTTAGGATAGTCTAATTCAAACTGTCTTACAGTTTGCTTAAAGATGAAATTCAACTTAATTAAATGGTTGAGATGGTTGAGTCAGAATTGTTCACAGTGGTGGTGACAGGAGCCAGACTTCTGAAGAGTTTAATGCCTTCTTTCTGTGAGTGAGTTTTCAGAGTCATTAAACTAAAAAATAGTTAGATATATGTTGGCATTAACGTGAAATAGTTAGATATATGTTCTGTGATGTCGGACACATTGTTTTATGATGGTGTCCAAGAGAAAACTTATTGTTTTCAGATTTATGACTTTTTTTTACCATCATAAACATTACATATAAAAACATAAGAAGACATATGTAGGTTCACTGGTAGTTTTGGAAAGTAAATAAAATGGCTTTATTTGTGTTTCTGACATGGCGACCCCTGGTTCCTATCGTCACCACTGTGGAGAAATCAGTCTGTAAGTTTCTCTACAATAAACCATCTTACATCAAACCACTTTGAATGACTGTTTACACCTCAAGGACTGAATTATTCAGAATTTTTGAAAAACTGGTGTAATTCCCCTTCAACTCAAATTATCATTTATATAGCTTACTCAGATCTCAATCCTATGGATAGAAATGCATGTTTTCCCCATAAATTACTTCTACACATATGTGAAATCCAAAATAAAGAACTAAGCCTGAGCTCTTATTTCCAGAGTGGAGGCAAGGTGGGACCTAAGGCGTAACTAAATGCTAGTGTAGATGGGGCAATTAGATATGCCTGCACCACAGGAAAGACAATACCCTGATTCCTTTACATGAGCCTTGTATTAATTAGTTATCCCAGTGTGTGGCACTGGTGAGGAAAATTCGGCTAATTAAGCCTTGCTTGATATCTTACTTTCAGTACAACTTCCATTAAAAGTTGGCTTTGTATCTACAGTTTCCTGAGTTCGTCTGCAGCCAGACTCTACTTTAGCACTTTATTCTTTAACTATTCGTGACGTCAGGAGTCAGAGCAAGCAAAGTGCAATGTAAAGTAAGTTACTTCGACACAAGATTTAAAACAGAAAAACATAAATAAAGACAGATACAAGCTGCTAAATCTTAGACTTCTCTGGAAAAGTAAGAGCCAGGTCAATCATCTGAAGTCCTGCCTCCTGTAAACGCCTTTAAGTCTTACTTCAGACTGTGGTCCCTTTCCCGCAGGGAGCTCATAGCTGCTGGAGCCGGGTGCCGGGGCTTCGGTCTCCTCCAGGGGGAAGTGCGCTGGTGCTCCGGAGGGCGCTCCTCCAACTTTGGTCCAAAAGTAGTGGCGAAGGCGCCATGGCACTGTGAGGAGCCGGAGACGCTCTGCGGCAGCCGGACGGGCTCCACGCTCGCCTGCATCTAAGAGGCTCCTCACTGCCGCACATGAGCGCTAGCCTAGCCTAGCTTAGCCTGCTCAGTCTCCGGAGGTGCAGTTAGCCCAGCTGACCACGCCTGAAGTGACCTATCCTCGCCTTGTCAGAGAGGACCGAGCCTCCAGGTCCCGGAGAAAACAAAGTTTTTGCTAATACTACAGTCAGTCAAGAGCCATGGCTAAAACTAGTGGCTAGCCTTTTTTAGCATATTCTGCTCAGTTTCAAGAAAGTGATTTAATGTTGGCGCACTTTAAGTTTCACATTATTTGTTAGCTAAAATGATTGACACTGAAGCTACGTACTCAGTGCTGCAGTTTGTTTAATCCAGACTATTTTAGACAAAATAATATAGTTATTCATAAACAGAACAAAAAGAATGTTTCCTAATTTAGTTCTGTGTAGGGAGACTACTGTTGCCATAAACAAATCTAGGCGCCTAATTGGACGACAGAGTTATTTATTTATTTATATATTTATTCATTCATTCATTCATTTGTAGCCAGCGACAGGGTTATCTGGATAGTATCTTATTAAATAAATGCATCCTTTTGTTGGCACAAAATATGTTTTATATTTTATTCTCACTTGATTACATACCAAAAAATCATTTTCTCTATAAAGGCAACGTTTACAACATGTAATTATAGGTACTCGCCACTAGGTGGTGATATAGTATAGAAAATGGAACACTAACAAAACACTAACCAATTTTAACAAAAAGTAATAATAACGTGTTTTTACTCTTTCAGCTCTTCTAGTTTGGGTAAAATTGTTGAGAATATAGGAATGAACTACAGCATTACACTAGAGTAATTACATTTCAGTCATTCCTCCTAAGCAGAAATTTAACCCAGCACCGTACTAGTAGGTTCTGTTCACAGGACTGCTGCCAGCTCGTGGGTTTAAATAATTAGTGTTCATTCATTCCTCATAATTAAGAATATAGCTAAACACCATACTGGTACGTTTTGTTCACTGGCCTGCTGCCAGCGCTTTGGAGGTGTGAAACAAACACATCCTGCAACACTGTGAACATGAGGCCCTGACAGAAAGGTGCAGTGTTGTGGACATGTGCGCCCTACAGTAATTAATCTGCCTGTCAAATGTATTAGGCTGCTGACCTGAGACGTCAGCTGGGGTGTGATAGGGGCCTGCAAGGGAAATAAATCTTTCAGTGGGGTACAATGTCAATCAAATGCATGCCTTTGCTTGACCCCTCTTGGAATTTACATATTGCAGGAAAATAAAAAGAAGACCTATAGGGTAAATGGATTATTTCATGCATCATTTGTATGTATACATAGCTCAGGTTGCTTAGGCCACATTTCATATTGCACAAGAAAATACATAACTGGACTGTCTAAGAAAAAGCCTGAAGTTTCTTCAGACATTATGTGATGGGCCTGTAATTGAAGTTGACAGTGCCGGTGATGTTATATGTCAAGCAAGACTTGAGAGGTTTGATCATAAATAAAAGTGTTGCCTGAGGCAGCATTCACAGGAGAAGAGGCTCTTGGGAATAACGTCATTAGTTTGGCTTGCTTTTAAATAGCTTTTTAGGGCCTTGTTTTTAAAGAAAATTGCCCCAGCCTATTGATTTTTGCTGCTCATTAAAGGTCATCTAGGCTCCCATCAGGACGTCGAATTTATATTGTAAATAAGGTTTAAAAGGAGAGAACTGCCCTCTGTTGATGGACTTGAATCATTGACTAGAACATCATCTAATAGAAAGACATTAGAGCCACATACAAACATTATTTGTGTCTGACAGTATTTGCTGTGTAGCAGAATGTATGTCACACAATTTTACTATTAATTCATGCTGAAGCCAGTGTAAATATTAAATTTACGTGCTTGAAAAATAAAAAAAACTAGGGATATTTCTCAGAAAGTAGGAAAGTAATAGAATCTGATACTTTTTTGCCATTGTACAAAAGGGATGAGCGTCAGCCAGGTGCAACCCTATTTTTATGCTATATTATGGTCAGCCGAATTACCAAAAGATCATTGTGTTAAACTTATAAACTAAAGGCATGTCCTGTTAGGGGCAGCACAAGCACAAGGTGCTTTGGTGGCAGGCTTATTTATGAAATGTGGGTATAAATAGAGCAAGAGGATACTGTGTGGTCAGGGTCGCAGGGTCAGGGGCTGTGAATCCTAGGAGGTGGAGAGATGAGATAGCTGGCGTCGCCTTGGGAGGGCCTGTGTTGAGAGGTATTGAAAGGTCATGTTGAAAGTGATAGGGCCATAACTCAAGCCCCTCAGCCAGGCGCCCTCCCACCCCTCGGCAGGTGCCGCCCATCTCGCTTTTATGTCTTTGTTAAAGCTGGGCAGTGGGCAGTGTGTGTTTTGAAGCAGGTAGATCCATGGTTCAATTTCTTAGTTGCACTGAAGTTGCTGGTCAGGTCAAAACCCAGCATAAAATACTGTGCCTAAGATCACCCTTCATTTATTTAATTTCCAGTCAAAATGGCCATTAAGTACAAGTTATTTATTTTTCAGGAGATATTTCTAAGGAGATTAGATATAAGACAATCTACTTGCATAAGAAAAGGGAAAGTCGAAGGAAAATACAATTTTGATTTAACACAAACAGGAACTGGAGTTCTAATTGGACTCCTAAAAACTGTGCAAGACCTTGTCACCATAAGATAAACAAGACAAAAAGTTCCCTTCTTTTTTAAATAAATGATCAAGCCCCATTCTTGCTTCAGATCTGAACAAATCCACTGTTCTGAAAGGATGTGCAAACAAACACAGAAGCTGCTGGTGTTCTCAGAACAATGCACTGGCCACCCCAGAGTCCAGACATCAACAACATCCAATATGTTTGAATCGTGAGAATCAGAAAATGCAACCAACTTCTAAGACCGAACTTTGGAGGTGTGGAAAGAAATCTCTGCAGATTTCTTTGAAAAACGGAAAGAAAGCCTCCCAAAAATAATGTAAACTGTAATAAAGGCAAAGCGTGGACAATTAAAATAGCGAAAATCTGATAGATTTAGTTGTTGAGGCTTTCTGTGTAATTTTCTATTACACTATGTTTTCTGAACATTTTTTCTGACACTGAAAAATTTATAAATTGTACTTAAGGGCTGTTTTGACTGGAAATCAAATAAACGAAGAGGGTACCTTGTCTTTTGCACAGTACTGTATGTACACAGTTTGGTGATAGATTCTTAGATGAAGAAATGTGTTTCATCACATATAACTCATATTGTTACACCATTTGAAAACACAATCTGTCCTTTATATTGTGTGAATATTTCATGAACAGACCAAAAAAATAAACTTGGAATAAAATCTTGTTTCATTAGCTAACATTAGAGTTCTGTAAATGTACAATTTTAGAGGTGTTTTGTTTTGAGAACATAGTAATATAGTACAAGCTGGTAAGTGATTAGTTCTCTGTAATGAAGATCAATGATCATATATAATTTGTTTCTCATTTTCTTAATAGCCTGTGTTAACATTGAACCTTCAACTAATGTCACTGGATTTCATGTGTTATTACACATATTTAATCTCATTCTCAGCAAAAAGGATTCTATAGACCAAAAATGGTTCTAGCACTTGCAACAATAGTACGTTGGTGCTATATAGAAGAGTTTCTATAAGGATCCATGTACAATACATTTTCCGTAGAGGAGATCCATTTAAACCCTTACATGGCCAGGGCCTCCAGGAGGCCCAAAGTTTTATTACACACTTATATAACATAAGAATAGCTTGATTAGTTTGCACTTAAGTCCCTGTAGTTACTGAATAATAAACCTTAGCATGTAATAAACCTGGGATTTTAAGGAGTTAACCATTCAAAGAATGCTTTGTGGATTCAAAAGAAACCCTTGTAGAACTACTTTTTTATCATAGCATTGACATTCAAACATAAAAAAAGTCTCTTTATCTAATGAACCTTCACTGTTGTCTAGTGGAGATGAAATTGGTGAACAGGGACTTTCTCCTCAGAGTATCTGAGACAGAAAAGAGCTCCAGAAGTAGCCCTCGAGGATAATGAGGCAGTATTTATGTGAGAGTGTTAGAAGCGTAGGCCTGGTAAAATGGATTACTCCCTCTTGCAGCCACTGAGCACTTCACCACCGCCACTAATGACCTCCCTCGATATATTCAGCCATTCCCATCTGCTTTGATTTAATGCCGATTATCCTGCCTCCTCCACAGCCTCTGAGCTCTGATTGGTCCGCCAGCCTGCTAATCCAAGGAAGCTTATAGTATTTGTAAAATGTGAGACACAAAGAGCACTTTTGTTGCTGGGAGGTGTGTATGTGTACCTGGTGCTGAATGGTTTCTGGGTGAGGATGCTCCTCAGAGTCTTCTCATCTCATCTTCTGCGAGTCTAGCTCAGCCAGCAGCATCAAAGAGCAGCTACTGCGCAGCTACTGGCAATTAGGTCTGTGGCATCTCGGGGGAGCTACGTCCGCAACTGAAGGTTAAACACAAAGGAGACACATTCCAGCAGCAGGGTGAAAAGGAGAGGACAAGCAGGCAGCCTGAACTGGATATCAGGCACACAGAGGAAAGGATTTGGAGCAGTCTTGAGCTAAAGGAGAGCACTGAAGTGACTGATATATATGCTTGGGATAGCAGCAGGGGGGTTGATATGATCCCTCATGCAGAGGAGACAACAAGGGGGCTACAGATTTATCGATGACTTGGGGCTTGTGTTTGTCCCTGTGCCAGAACTAGCCACTGTTGACATTACTGTCAAGCGGAGCCAGAGCCAGGATGCCTTCGTGTGAAGGTAAGTACAAATTATACTAAAGCATTTTGGTTTATCAGTGCTTTTATGTACATCTATATATACATGATGGTAGATGGTAGTCTCGTATTTATACTTTCTCATTCATTTGATTAACAATAAAAAGTCTTTATAGTGCAAAAATTGACACATACATGAAGTGAAGGTCAGTCTAAACAAAAGCTAAATGATTCCTAAATCAAAGCTAAATAAGTGCATGCTCATTCAGGTTCAGATCTATTGGTCAACTAATCACTGCTTTTAATTTGCATAGAAAAATTGTTGTGTGAACACCACCACTTGTCACATTACAGCGTCAAATGATGAAATCGATTCACCTTCTATGCACATTCTTACAGAATGATGTCAGACAGACATTGAAATGACATTGAATTATTCCTTAACAGAAGCTGATAGAAACTAGTTATATTTACTCAGATCCATGTACTTAAAAACAATTCAGATTTATTTGTACTTTTCTGAGTATTTTGAGTATTTCTGAGTAACAAGCATAATAATAATAATAATAATAATAATAATAATAATAATAATAATAATTGGCCATCACCCTATGTTTAACACGGTTTATTATTACAAATAATACAAGAAGAGAAGTAATGCCTCACAACTTCAGCTCCTGTTGATAGATTCTAGATGTTCTAAGAAGTTCTTGTATTTTTTTACTTTTTTGACATTTTACTCTTACTCAAGTTGTTTTTGGTACCTGCTTTTACTGAATTCATTATTTATTGTATGTTTCATTTTTTCAATATTTGTAATTAAATAGGGGTTTAGGTTACACACCTCTGCTAGTTTATAGCTCCTTGTTTGGACGCTATTTAGAAAAGGCATTGGATTTTAGACATCTCTAAAAGAGATTGGTGTTCTTCATGTTTACTTGTGTAGGTTTAATCTTGCAGCAGAATCTGTTAAGTCTTTAAATAATGTTTAGTAGTGACAGTACTTACTGCTTTCATTAATAGGTGTGAATGAAATGTAGTCATCTGTTGGCTAATGCAGAATAAGCCGCCGTCACAATGTGTTTTTGTGATAGATTACTTAAGAACCCCCTCCCCAAACAACAGGATTTAAATACGATACCCAGCCTGAGGTGCCGCTAAGAAGTTAACTTAATTTTCATGTGGCTACTGTGCTGACATGTAGAGATTATGACATTTTGTGGAGGTGACATCATGTTATCAGAGTGTATTAGCAGGCCATGGACAGGGTGGGGTGAAATATTTTGAAAAAATAGTGATGGCTGAATGCTAAAAACACTGCCTTACGTATATGTAAAGTGTTCCATTAAAACACTTGAAAAAGTAACATGTTCAGAATACATTTAGAATACATTTACAATACATCTTGATAAGACAAATGGGGAAAACATTTTTTTCACCTTTCACACTGTTCCTCACTGTTACGGGCTTTAGCAAACCTCAGTAACACTTAGATCAATAAGTGATCATCACTTTGATTTATCAGTCTACTTAGGCTTTAGCAAGAACTTCAGTGTTTGTAAGGGAGCCATTAATTGAGGTTCCTTTAGAGTTCATGTAACAAGCATGTTTGTTTCATACCATGCGCTGATTTTAAAATAGTTCATATTCAAACATTGATGGTGTTTCTTTTGATATTTTTTTTAGTGGGTAAGTAAAAGTATTTTCCTAAAATGTAAAAAGTAACTGTATTCTGAATACTGCCTTTAAAATATGCAACTTGGACTGAATACAGATACTTATTTTCTGCATTCTGAATAAGTATTTCCAAAACTTGTATTGCATTACATATGAACCCCGGCCATGGACACCCAGCCGAGGCAGCTTTTACACTCTAAGACCAGCCCACTGCCAGAACCCTGCTGTTGGTGACCTGGCGGCTGCTTAGCTCATTCAACAGCAATATTCTGTCCAAAGAAACAAGATACCTTCCATTTGTCCTACATGTGATGCTATCAGAACTAAATCATGTCAAGCATGAATCTGCTATACAGATGGGTGGATAGCTTGGATTTTGAGACATTGGAGAAGGATGCTATCTAAAAATGCTATTGCAGTCATAACAAAACCTTGTATTGCAATGTTAACAATTTATGAGAAGGAAAAAATGCTATTATCTCTAATGTATGCTAATCAAATTTTATTCCAGCTGATTTTGGATCATTGCCATTCGTCCATTTATCATGAATTGTTCACGCAATAGGGCATCTAATGTTTTCAAATGGCGTAAAAATATAAAAACAAACAAATACAGTTGCAAGAGTTTTTATGTAACAGTGCTAAAATATTATAAGCTACATAAAGTTTAGACACTGAAGTCGGATTGTTCAATCAGAATGCAATAGCCCTCAGGTACGGTAGCCTCAGTGAGCTAATTAGCTGGCTATACAAATTTTGCAATGGGCAGAACATTTTTTGAGTAGGTTTGAACGAAACGTACACAGATTTTGTGAATAATTGCATTTTCTGGCTGTAAGCTTTGGTTTAAATCCATGTTGTATTGCCTTTATTTCAGTTGTAGCTAGCTGTGTACTCTTTAGCTTGCTAAGTAGCAAGCTAGCAAAGTAATGAAGTTACATCAGTAGTCAGATGGAGTAGTTTGCCACCTAATATCCAATCTGAAAATAGCAAATCCCATGTTATTGTTTACAAATATTAAGCATTTGTACAATATTTTGCTTTGCAATTTCTGCTTTGGCTTATAGATAGCTTTATCTGCTGTTTGTCTTTGTGGTGTGAAAACAGAAATTCATCAAGTCATAATGATTTATGGGCAAAGAACACAAGTGCACACATGTTTATGTGATCCCTTACACCTATGAGGGCTCATCTAATAAACTCCACTTGCACTTTGCACATGGAGTGGCCTTTAAGATGATGTCCCGGATCCTTCTGAGTGGAAATATCAATGCCAAGTTGACAAGGACATGTAAAAACGGCATTGAAACGGGCAGCAAGAAGCACCGTCACAGTGCATAATTTATTTATTTAAATGATCATATAAACCAGCGCCAACAAAGCTGAACCTACTTAATAAATCATCCAGGGAGCTTTTTTATAGAAGCAGGAAGTTCAAAGCAGCAGTGCACTGTTAAGAAGTTCTTAGGAGAATTCTTTATAAGCATAAGACTACAAACAAATGTATTTCTCAGGCAGCACTCACATGAACTTTTTTAAGGCAGGGTATCCTGAGTCCCAGAGGAGGATCAGTCAGCCTGGTGCAGAATGTAGAGGAAAACAGAGGCTTATTTATTTCACAGTGACAAATCACTGATCAGGTAGAAGAACAATCCAATAACCTGATTATTTACTCCCGCTGTGCTGGCAAACCTTTACATAACACAGAGTGCACTTTGCCCTCTGCATAAAATCTTGTAGGTAGTTCCAATTACATTAAGTAATAGATGCCTTAATCTGTCGTACTGCATAGTTCATCTGTTTCTGAATCTTTGCTTCAAAGGCAAAACAGACAACTCCATCATCCTGTACTAAATAACTGAAACTGAGAATCTTTCACATACTTTGAGGCAGATTGTACTTGTAATCTGCTTTTTTCATTTAAAGCAATGCTAAACAGAACTGACCCATTGGAAGTGTTCCCACTTTCTGGATAAATTCTTTAATCTGCTAATTCTCTTACTCCTTGTTCCTTCTTATATAACAGCACTGCAGTAAGCACAGCTTGCATCACCCCATATCATCATATCAGCTCTTCAGTTTGCTGGATAGCAGTATGTGATTCCAGAAACTGGAATAAGAAATTACATGCCAATTACTTTATTAGAACCACCTACCTTATATTTTCACTCACTGGCCACTTTATGAGACATGCATACCTTACCGGTCCATTATATAGAGTACTGTGCAGAAGTCAGAGACCACTCTATCATTTGTTTAATTTCCAGTCAGAATGGCCATTAAGTCAGTAAGTAGGTTTTATTCATTTTCTGCAATGTTATGGCACTATACAAGAAGAAATTTACACAGCAAATAAATATAATATCTTTTTTGTATTTAGTGCCCACCTATTGCCTTCCATTCTTTTCAGAAGATTTGCTTTCAATTTATAAATAAATCTGCAGAAATATATTTTACACAGGTTAAACGTTCAGTCTAAGAGGTTTGAATTTCTCTCCAGTCAGACCTTGTCCAGAGGATATTGCATGAGTTTTCAAATTTGTTTGCACTTATCAGCATCCATGATGCCATCAATCCAGATACCATCAGTCCATAAAGCCCACTCCCCATCTCAGATGTCCATTTTCGGTGTTCTAGTGCAGATTTATTGCTGCATATTTATTTATTTCCTTTTCTCAGTAACGACTTCCTTACAGCTACACATCTTTTCAGACCCATTGCGTTGACAGTGGAAGGATGGACAGAAACACATTTTTTATTTCAGATCTGAAGCAAGAGCTTGATTTTCTCCTCTTTCTCAAAGATTGGGTTTAAAATTGGAAGGATGAGGAGTAAAAGTGGCCATGGATTGCTCAAAAGTGAAGAGTGGACAAATTAATGACTGATGGATTTGAAATTATATTTTGTGCTAGAGGCTTTATGTAATATACATTTTTCATATATAAATACAGAAAATTGCACAAATTACAGCCAGCCTGTCTTGCCGTCTCCGAATCTTGGTCCCCGATCTACTGACCCACAGACTTTATCTCCAGCCCTAATCTAACGTACCTGATCCAGGTAATCAAGGTCTATAGGAGCTTGTGAAAACTACAGCCAGGTGTGTTGGAACTGGAGGGTTCTGCAGGGTGCTACATCTCCAGGACGTGGGTTGGGCTCACCTGCTGTAATTTATTCATGATTGGTCACTTTCTGACCATACTGAATTGGTAGTGTGTGTAGTGGTGGTGAACATGCATCAGGCACACAGTGGCTTTGCTGGAGGTTTTTTTTAGGTGGACCTACAAAGTAGGTGTTTCCAACAAAGTGGCCGGTAGGCTACTATGTTGATATGTCCAATTAGTGCATCAATCAAACTGAAGTTAG